AATAGCACACCAGTGTTTTCATTTAAGCATCTCTTCTTGACAGACACAGCTCTAGCTTCAATGGCAGGAGAGATTAATATATCAAAGAAAATACAGAAATGGTCAGACAGTGCTACATCCTTAATAACAATCGATGAGATGTTTAAACCCGTACTGATAAGTAAATCTAGAGTGTGTCCACGATTGTGTGTCCACGATTGAACATAAGAGTTCACACTGGAGAGAGTCCTTTCACCTGCCAAAATTGTGGAAAGATTTTCAATCAAAAATCAAACCTTTATATCCACATGAGTGATCACACTGGAGTAAACCTTCACCTGCAATCGCACTAGAAGCCTTGAGATTCATAAGAGAATTCACCCTGGAGAGAAGCCTTTCGTGTATCTTCAATGAGTCACAAGTTTCACATATCAAAGAGACTTGAAACATCATTATGCAAAATCATTCTGGAGAAAAACTTAATGTTTTGTAAAAGTAAATGTCACCTCTACATTTATTCTGGGGGAAAGTGATTAAATCTTGTCAAAATGATTCTGCCTTCATGCTTGACGTTACACTTGGCAATTTCAATGACACTAGCAAATCTTAAACTTGAAAATTAATTTGAAATTTATATTACTTTTATTTATGTGATTGGTCAATACATCAGAATCAAAATGTTAGATAAAAATGTCTCTCTTGCTGTGAAATGCTGCTATGTAAATGGAGAAATGACAAATAAAAGAATGTTAACTGAATAAAATAATGAACATTGCATTGAATTATTTGATTCCTCTTCAGTGAGAGTATGTACAAGTAAACATGGTTTCAGTCGTGACTTGAATGCCTATGGTTGGAGTGGGTTTCAGTACGCCTGCTCTGCAAGTAGGGTGTGTTTGTGAAACGCATATGCTGTTCACTATAAAGAGTGAAGTGAAAATGATGACAGTGCCGAGCGTCGTCTGTGTGGATTGTAATGTCTTAGTCTTGTATCGAATGTAGTTTTTATCACATTTAGTCAATCTTGTCATGAATTTATTTAATCCAAGTTGTATCTGGTCATTTTAGTTTAGCTTTAATCAATGAAAACTTGAAGTTGCTCTGAGATTGTTAGTCTTTGTGAACCCATTATAATCCACAAGGGGACGTTAAACAGTTAAATTGGCAAGTGAGAGAAATCATGGCTCAACCGCAACAGTAATGGTGGTGTTAAAGGAACACTCCGACTTTTTGGGACTTTAGCCTATTCACCTTACCCCCCAGAGTTAGATAAGTCCATACATACCTTTTTCATCTCCGTGCGTGCTATAAGTCTGTTTGACGCACCCACCGCTAGCCTAGCTTAGCACAAAGACTGGATGTGAATGGTTGCAGCTTTCATACTAATCCAAATGAGTGACAAAATAATGCAAACGTTTTCCTATTTACATGTTGTGGTTTGTATAGTCACAGAGTGTGCAAATATCAAGGCCATGTGAGACACCGACATCTTTTAACCGTATAAATACTATATTTTCTGAAGGCGAAGCACTGCTACTTGGGCAGAGTGATAACAATCACCTGAGACGCACCGTGACGAGGAGCAGAGAGTTCGCTTCGCTCAGTGTTGGAATAAAGAGTCAGCAATTACTAACGTTAGATAGAAAAGCATAGTTTATCACGGGTGTTTGCTTTATTGTATGAGCTGTGACAATAAACAGGGGAGACCAGGTAATACAGTACCATGTTTCATTGATTTCCAACCAAAAACGCACCCAGATTTATAAACATCACATGAATAAATAATTATTATTACAGGAATCAATATATTTTAAATGCAATTTATTAGCTGAACCAAATGTATTCAACAGTAGCCTATATAATATACAGTATTGCATTACTATAGGATAGAATAAGGGGAAAGTAATAGCACAAATTGTTTTTGCACAATGAACTCACAGCCTATCGTACCCTTTTGCACGCTCAAGTTCGTTATTTCCATGGTTATTTCAAATTTAGGCTACTAGGCGCGCCGCGCGCAGGGTGCAAGTTCAAACGCGGTGAACGCGCTCGTTTTTTTTTTCCCAAGCGCGTCCGCACCGCATCAAGATAAAAACATATTCATACCCTAATCATATAATAGTGTCACTAACGTTACATTAGCTCTGGCTAAAGGCACTGTTACAGTAGGTCATCTAAAAACATAACGGAACACTTACCTCAGCCGCAGGTGATCCACTTGTCCTGTCTGTGCTATCGATGGGATGGCCGTATCCTTCAGCACATTATGGTCCGTGATGTGGCAAATTCCATTTTTTCAAAATAGTCGTCCTCATTGAAATGTACCGAGCAAACGTAATGTCCCTTGATAATCTTAGGTGTGTTTGGATAAATATCCAGAGTAAGTTAGCCATTTCTTCATCCAGTCAGCGTTTTTAGTTGGAATTCTGTGAAACATCCCAGCTAACAAAAAAAGGTCCCCAGGACGTCCCCTAAATGGCCTGTGCGAACGTCCCCCCGAACGTCCCCATGTGGAGTCCGCTTGATGTCCCGCGGACATTCGCGAAGACGTCCTCCGGACGTTCAAGAGGACGTTCCCAGGACCACCAGCGGCCATCCGGGACGTTTATGGGACTTTCGCGTTTAGTCCCCTGAATATCATTTTATTTTATTTTACTTCTGGCTAACCAAAGAAAACAGACGCGGTGTAAGGAACAAAGTACATTATTTATTTAAAACAATTGTAAAGGTGGCATTTCCGTGTGTGTGTGTCTTCAAATGCGCTGGCAGCTGTGTGTGTGTGTGTGTTTGTCGGTCAGCTGTGGGATTAATCCGATGGCTCTCCCCCTTCGGCGTCTAACGTTACCTAAAACAACAAAAATGAACATATTCCATTATGATTTTATCAATATGTGAAATGTTGTCTCATTTTCAGCTGTTAGCTTCGTAGCTGCTACTCATATTAGCATATAACGGTTATCAGCGGTACATTGCGGACAACTTCAGCAAACGTTTTAAAAGGTAACATTTTCATATAATTTGAAGATGGACAGTGGTTATGGTGACTAATTTATAATAATATAATTAAAAATACCTTTTAGACAGACGACGGACAGAGGAAACACAAGGCTGCGTCTGAGAAGGACCGTTAACTGTCACTACGCTACCCAGCTGAGCGTTGCCATGGATACAAACCGCGTACATAAGGAATGACGTCACTCGCTTAGCCGCATTTGATTCTATGATTTGATCGTCACTCGCTTGTTTCTCCAATGTTTTTTTTTTTTGTTATTTGTTCTGTATGCTATCAGTCTTAAGTACAATAATTATAACAATATTTTTCCTAAAATAAATTATTTTTAATAAAACCAGTCACCTTCTCCTGACCAACGTTTGACAGGTAAATGTTTAGGATACTTTTATTTGTCTTACCTGTTATTATCCACTTTTCCATTCTTCACGTTTTCCTTGGCTGCATTCATCATTTGAAGTCGATGCATTAGAGCTCCTGGGATTCAATCTCTGTGCATGTGAATAGCCTTTATAAATTATAGCTCATATTCAATTGAATCAATTGTCATGTTTTTGATGTTAAAATTAAAACGGGTGAAAACAGACTCGTGGTATACATCTTTAATTAGTGATTAGAATTTACATGAAGTAACATGAACATTATCTTAACATTAAAACACTAACATTTTAGCATTAACTTAATTTTACAATCAATGCAAATATTTGCATTTATATTTTAGTTTAATTATTCGTTTGTCTGAGTTGTAAAGTTTCAGTTGATGATAGCAAACATGGGCGACTGGTTAAGTGTTGTTATGGAAATGCCAGGTGAGGGACGAAATAGGGACGTTCGCAAACTGGGCCGGACAAATGTCCTCAGAACGTCCGTCAGCGAACGTTATATGGATCAAATGCGAACGTCATCGGAATGTCCGCCAGCGAACGTTACAAAGCGGACCAAATGCGAACGTCATCGGAATGTCCGCCAGCGAACGTTACAAAGCGGACCAAATGCGAACGTCATCGGAATGTCCGTCCGCGAACGTTACAAAGGGGACCAAATGCGAACGTCATCGGAATGTCCGTCAGCGAACGTTACAAAGGGGACCAAGTGCGGACGTCCTCCGAACGTCCGCTAGGGAACGTTACAAAGCGGACCTAATGCGGACCTAAGGGGACGTTTGAAAAGTCCGGGGGACGTCCCTTGTTTGTAGGGATGGTATTACCTCCCCTGTTTACTGTCGCAGCTATTTACAATAGAGCGAAAACCCATGACTCTAAACTACGCTTTTACTTTATAAATTGCTGACTCTATTACCCAAACACTGAGCGAACTCTCCGCTCCTCACCACTGCGTGTCTCCGGTGATGCGGTTATTACGCCGTCAAAGTAGCAGTGCTTCGCCTTCAGAGAATAGTTCCCAGGTTTTATACGGTTAAAAGATGTCTGTGTCTCATTTGACTTTGTTATTTGTACATTATGTGACTATACAAATCACAACATGTAAATAGGAAAACGTTTGCGTTATTTTGCCACTCATTTGGATCAGTATGAAAGCTGCAACCAGTCACATCGAGTCTTTGTGCTAAGCTAGGCTAGCGGTAGGTGCGTCAAACAGACTTATAGCACGCACAGAGATGAAAAAGGTATGTATGGACTTATCTAACTCTGGGGGGTAAGGTGAATAGGCTAAAGTCCCAAAAAGTCGGAGTGTTCCTTTAACAGTGCAAAAGGGTAAATAAGATAGTTTAAGATATTTTGTATAATTTTTTTTTTGCTACTTTTGTAATGTTTATTCAATGCTTTTCTCATCTAACACAATGACTTCAATGATCTTTTAGGGAGTAATTTCTCAACCAAAATTGATGTAAGATTAATTTGATTAAACATTTTAAAACCTCTTTCAGTAGTTGGGTGCATATAGGATGTAGTTTACTTGTAGCTGGTTTTGATGCTTTAATGCATTTATGTTGGGTTGCTTTGTGTCTTTAAAATAGGGTTAAGTTGTGTTTGTTTTTGCTTTTCTTTAGACCGGATGCAGCTGAAAGAGGAGAGTCAAGAATTGATGGAAATGGAAGAGAGAAATCAGCAACAGAAAGATCATTATTACAAAACTGGAGAAACCTCTTTTAATTGCTCAGTGACAAAAAAGGTTTCCACACGAAAAAGTGCTTTGAAAAGTGATTTCCCCTGCCAACAGGGTGGGGAAAAAATCTCTCAAGGACACTTCAAAGTCCACATGAAATGTCACACTGTAAAGAAGCCTTTCACCTGCGATCTGTGTAGAAAAAGCTTCTCAAGAAAAAATTATCTTAAGACTCACATAAGATTTCACACTGGAGAGAAGCCATTCTCATGCCCTCAGTGTGGAAAGAGTTTTTCACATAAAGGACACTTGACGATCCACATGAGAATTCACACCAGAGAAAAGCCATTTACATGTGATCAGTGTGGGAAAAGCTTCTCACGAAAAGGAAATCTTAAGACTCACATGAAAATTCACGCCAGAGAGAAGGCATTCACATGTGATCTTTGTGTGAAAAACTCTTTCCACTCTGAACACTTGAAGGACCACATGAAACTTCACACTGTAGAGAAGCCTTTCACCTGCGATCTGTGTAGAAAAAGCTTCTCACGAAAAGATTATCTTAAGACTCACATGAGAATTCACACTGGAGAGAAGCCATTCTCATGCCCACAGTGTGGAAAGAGTTTTTCACATAAAGGACACTTGACGATCCACATGAGAATTCACACCAGAGAGAAGCCATTCACATGTGATCAGTGTGGGAAAAGCTTCTCACGAAACGAAAATCTTAAGATTCACATGAAAATTCACACCAGAGAGAAGCCATTCACATGTGATCAGTGTGGGAAAAGCTTCTCAAGAAAAGATTGTCTTAAGACTCACATGAGAATTCACACTGGAGAGAAGCCATTCTCATGCCCTCAGTGTGGACAGAGTTTTTCACATAAAGGACACTTGACGATCCACATGAGAATTCACACCAGAGAGAAGCCATTCACATGTGATCAGTGTAGAAAAAGCTTCTCAAGAAAAGATTATCTTAAGACTCACATGAGAATTCACAGCGGAGAGAAGCCATTCTCATGCCCACAGTGTGGAAAGAGTTTTTCACATAAAGGACACTTGACGATCCACATGAGAATTCACACCAGAGAGAAGCCATTCACATGTGATCAGTGTGGGAAAAGCTTCTCACGAAACGAAAATCTTAAGATTCACATGAAAATTCACGCCAAAGAGAAGGCATTCACATGTGATCAGAGTGGAAAGAGTTTTTCACACAAAGAACACTTGAAGGACCACATGAAACTTCACACTGAAGAGAAGCCTTTCAACTGCAATCGGTGTGGAAAAAGCTTTTCACGAAAAGACAATCTTAAGACTCACATGAGAATTCACATCGGAGAGAAGCCATGTTCATGTGATCAGTGTGGAAAGAGTTTTTCACACAAAGAACACTTGAAGGACCACATGAAACTTCACACTGAAGAGAAGCCTTTTACCTGCAATTTGTGTGGAAAAGGCTTTTCACGAAAAGACAATCTTAAGATTCACACGAGAATTCACACCGGAGAGAAGCCATTCTCATGCCCTCAGTGTGGAAAGAGTTTTTCACATAAAGGACACTTGAAGATCCACTTGAAAATTCACACCAGAGAGAAGCCATGTTCATGTGATCAGAGTGGAAAGAGTTTTTCAAACAAAGAACACTTGAAGGACCACATGAAACTTCACACTCAAGAGAAGCCTTTCACCTGCAATCAATGTGGAAAAAGCTTCTCACGAAAAGAAAATCTACAGTTTCACATGAAAATACACACTGGAGAGAAGCCTTTCACATGCTATCAGTGTGGGAAAAGCTTCTCACGAAAAGATAATCTTCAGAATCACATGAGAATTCACACTGGAGAGAAGCCATTCTCATGCCCACAGTGTGGACAGAGTTTTTCACATAAAGGACACTTGAAGATCCACTTGAAAATTCACACCAGAGAGAAGCCATTCACATGTTATCAGTGTGGGAAAAGCTTCTCACGAAAAGAAAATCTTAAGACTCATATGAGAATTCACACCAGAGAGAAGCCTTTTACATGTGATCAGTGTGGGAAAAGCTTCACACGAAATGAAACTCTTAAGACTCACACAAAAATTCACACCGGAGAGAAGCCGTTCACATGTGATTAGTGTGGGAATAGTTTCAGATGTGAAATAACTCTTAAAACCCATATGAGGATTCACTCAACTGTTTAATGTTGTAAGTGTGGAAGGTGCTTCACAGATGGCAAACTCCTGAAGAATCCTGTAATAACTCACACCAAAGATAAATCTTTCACCTGCCCTCATTGTGGAAAGAGTTTCGCAGCTATGGGAAACGACTTTAACGAGATGCCTGGGTTGCAACTGTACATCGGGTTACAACTTTACTACGGGTTATGACTCGGATTACGACTGTACAACGGGTTATGACTCGGATTACGACTGTACGACGGGTTACGACTCGAGTTACGACTGTACGACGGGTTACGACTCGGATTACAACTGTAACCGAGACGCTGTGTCGAGAATCGACAATTTGGGGAATGCCTTGAGCGGAACGTGTCTGAAGCCTCTATGGAACTAGTCCAATCTTGATTGGTGTTCCGTCATGACGTCACCCATGATATTGCATGTGACGGTGATGCGGAAGCTATAAAAGGGTGTCGTATCATAACAGCGTCAGCTTCTGATTGGTCAAAGCAAGTCATTCTCAGTAGCACGAGAAATGTGGCTGAGGGACGCAGGGTCTCGTTCCCTTCTCAGGTTAATGTTTTATTAAGGTGTGTGGGTAGGTCCAGTCTGCGGCATCACAGACCTATTGAAGGGAAACTCCTTGCTAGCAGAGCTTTAGAGGAAGCCACAGTTGAGTGGGCTCAAAGGCAAGATGTGCGCCTCGTAAGCTGAAGAAATAGTTTCTACTATCCGCCTGCTGATAGTTTGCTTTGAAGCAGGGGAACCCTTCTTAGGTGACCCAAAAGACATGAGTAGCTGGAATGGCTCTCATTCTGCCAGGAGCGAACTCGAGGCAAGAGTGAGCAACGGATAGTGCTTGCAGATCGCCAACTCTTTTCAGGGAAGTAATAGTGGGCAGGAAAGCTACCTTTAAAATTAAGATTTTCAAAAAAATTCTCTGACATGGTGATCCAGTACAGGACCCCCTGGGACAGGAACCACGTTTTCTTCCACATTACCAAAAAACGAAGGCATCAGCGTGTTACTTTGATCGTGGGAAATGGGTTCCCCCTCGGGGAAAACCCTCTGGTCCTGAGCCACCAAGCCTTTTGTGGGGGAGCACAAGAAGCAACACTTTCCCTCTGCTGCTGCAGGTGTGAGGAGCTAACAGCTGCCTTGAGGGACTGCGCCCTGGCAGCAGACCCACGAGACCTAGAACGACGGCAGGGGATAAGATGTTGGAATGTGGCTGACTGTCATTTCATCTTCTGAAAACTCTTGTGTCGCTGATGAGGCCAGAAGACGAAATCAGGGCATCGAGGAGAAAGGCCCTGTCCTTGTCCCCAATGCCAGACAGATTCAGCCACAAATGTCTCTCCGTGGCTACCAAAGCTGCCATGGAGCGGCCGATGGCGTGGGCCATCTCCTTATTAGCACAGAGAGATAAGTTGTCCGCTCTACGGATCTCTTGGATATCGTCAAGGGTGACCTCCCCACTGTCGTCCACCTCTTTGAGGATGTCGGCCTGGTATGCCTGCAGAAGCCCCATTGTGTGCACCAGCCCGAACTTCCGCCTTTATATGCTTTCCCAACTAAGGCGGATGTTGTACGGCAGGGCTTATGTTGTACCAGCAGCCATATCACCCTGTAGCCCAAGACTGGTTGCCCACTGAAGCTAAGCAGGGCTGAGCCTGGTTAGTACCTGGATGGGAGACCTTCTGAGAAAGCCAGGTTGCTGCTGGAAGAGGTGTTAGTGAGGCCAGCAGGGGGTGCTCACCCTGTGGTCTGTGTGGGTCCCAATGCCCCGTCCTAATGCCCCTAAAGAGCACCGTCCTTCGGATGAGACGTTAAACCGAGGTCCTGACTCTCTGTGGTCATTAAAAATCCCAGGATGTCTTTCGAAAGAGTAGGGGTGTAACCCCAGCATCCTGGCCAAATTTGCCCAGTGGCCTCTGTCCATCATGGCCTCCTAATCATCCCCATATACCAATTGGCTTCATCACTGTCTCCTCTCCACCAGTAAGCTGGTGTGTGGTGAGCGTTCTGGCGCACTATGGCAGCCGTCGCATCATCCAGGTGGATGCTGCACACTGGTGGTGGTTGAGTAGATTCCCCTCTCTTTGTAAAGCGCTTTGAGTGCAGAGAAAAGCGCTATATGAATGTAATGAATTATAATTATTATTATTATTGTTGTTAGGGCTTGCTGCATCGAGCGAGAGGTGAGTCTCTTCAACCCGTGGCATCATCCCATAGCCCTTCTCTTTCGACCCCATAATTTAAGAATAAATATGAATATTGGGATTTGATGATCAAGAAGAGAAGGGCTTATTCCACGATCTCGACACCTCGTTGTGGAGATCATTGAAAAATGCGAGGCTCCGGCGCAAAGGCTGTGTGACCGGGCTTGCAGGAAGCGCTCATAGAGTTGGCTTTTCACTAGTCGCTTCCTGATTCTCTGGTGCCCAATCTATATTTAACTTAGTCACTGCCCTGGTCACAACCTCCAGCAGCTCCTCAAAGGCGGGAGAATGGGGAGGCAAATCCTCACATTCTCCTGCCTCGATGCTCAAGATATCCAACTCCTTGGAGTTAGATAGAGCGTCATGGGCGGAAGAAGCCGCAGGGTGGCTTTCTAATCTGTGAGTGGGACCATGGGAACTGGCCGATGAATGTTGAGAAAGGGCCGAGGCCATCTCAACATTATCAGCCAACTGCCTCTGTGATCCCCATGAATTTAAGCGCCACTTTTTTTCCACGGGGAACGTGTGCCTGGCCTGATTTATCAAACAGACTTAGGTGGGAGTGGAGCATTCTCAGGGGTATTTGATCACAGTTAGCACAGACTGCGCCCTCGAGCGCTACCTGTGCATGCTCCCCTCCCAGACAAACAACACAAAGCGAGTGTGTGTGTCACCCTTGCCAAATAGTGTGGGCAAGGGGACGGACACTGCCTGTATTGCTTCACCTTAGATGCCATTGTGAAATTGTATATATATATTACTAAATGCTGTTATGATCCGGCGTCCTTTTATAGCTTCCGCCTTCGCCGTTACATGCGATGTCATGTTAGATGTTATAATGCAACAACAATCAAGATTGGACTAGTTCCATACAGGCTTCAGAAGCGTCCCGCTAAAGGCGTTCCCCAAAGTGTCGACTCTCTACGTAGCACAGGTTCCCTTGGAAGGGAACTTAAGATTCACATAAGTCACACTGAAAAGAAGCCTTACAAATGTCTTCAATGTGACACGAGTTTCACATATCAAAGAAACCTGAAACATCATTTCAAAACTCATCCTGGAAAGAAACTTTCTAAGTGAAGAGACTTCACTGCTGTGAAAAGCCTAAATGTATAAGGAAAATTACAAATAAAAGGATATAAACTGAATAAAATAATGAACACTGCACTGAATTATTAGTTCCTCAAATTTTACCATAGTATACATGTGAGCAGATATCCACAAACACAGTATTTAACAGTAAACACAGGTCTAAACATTATAATATTCACCATGAATAAACACTCCTACTCGTTATATACTCCTACTGTTATATCGTGCTGTGTTTAATTATCGAACATAACATGTCGTACATGGATACATTTAACATTAGGCTTCATGTTTTTACAATCACATTTCATAACGTACATTTCAGTCTGGCACCAGTTTAACTAGTAACTACAATGCAAAGTTTATGCAATAATAACATGCTAATATTAGTGTCTTACCTTAAAAAATCGTTCTCATAATCAAATCATGTTCTTCTAATTCTTCTGAGGTAAAGCCAAGGTAAACAGCACAAACACAATCTTCAAATGCGGCGAAATTCTTTGTTTAGTAATGTGATGAGGGCGGTAACAGCTCTGCATTCCTCCGCGTGGATCATTTGCATATGAACAGCTCGTTTGTGCGTGGTCACATTAGTGCTTATCAGCTCGGCCTGGAGAAACTGTACATGTGGTTGTTTTTGATATGATTTACATAAAAGACTTTGTAAAGACAAATGTTTCATGTCACAGTGACAATCATTCGCTGAGTTATAGGTCATATTCTGTCACGCTTCAGAATGAACTTCACATTGAGAGAGAAGGGAAAACACGCACTGTCATTTGTTCTGGCCCCCTTCCTGTTCGCAGGAGTGATGGGATAGTTAGTAGACTGTCCTCACTCAAGGGCTGGCTGTCTAAGTGGTGTCCGCAAAAAAGAGCTAGTATTCGTCCCTCCTGGGATGATCCTCTTCTCTCTAGTATTAATTTTTTTAGTATTGGTCTTACATGAAACACGTAAGGTAATTCTGGCCAATTTAAGCAAGGAAGATATATGGTTGCTGTATATGAACCATGCAGTTTTTTTTCATATGGGTAATCAGATCAGATTCATTATTAAGTTGTGCATAAACATATGTCACATAACTATAATAGTACTGTCAGTGGCACATTACCTCTGCTGAAATCCAGTTACTCGCCCCCATGCTGTACCAACCCCGTAAGACCTTTGTTCGTCTTCGGAGCACAAATGAAGATATTTTTGATTAAATTTGAGAGCTGTATAACTACCACATAGGCTCCTAAGGGAATGACACTTGACGGCCCAGATGAAAATGTTTAAATATTCCATGTGACTACAGTGGCTCAATTATAAGTTTATCAAGCGACGAGAATACTTTTTGTGCGGAAATAAAACAAAAATAACGGCTTTATTCGACTATTCCTTTTCTTCCTTATAGGCCTGAGACGAGAGCTCAAGAGATTTCCACGACACGCGCGAGAACTGAAGAAAAAGGAGTAGAGTTAGATCGCAGTTCTCGCGCGTGTCGTGGAAATCTCTTGAGCTCTCGTCTCTCGCCATTTAATCGCCCAAATGGAGGACCAGAACAGGAGGCGGAATACCTTGGAATATCTGCCGCTCACCTGTGTCCTGAGAAAGAAAATGCGATAAAGAATTGTCGATACCAACTTCTGTTCGGCAGTCCCGAGGCCTGGATGAGCGCAAAGTGGCAAGACATGTTAGCCACGGAGTTGTATAGTACCTGCGTCAGCAACAAAGTCCATTTAACTTATAAATGGTAAGTGGTATTTATTAATATCAAATTGTCATTATGCCTGTAGACTACCTACTGTGGTTGTCACAGTGCCACTAAGTTGTGTTGCCTTTCAATATCAATATACAGCTACCGCTTTAGTAGCATAACTTTCAGCTGTGCACACACGCACCTGATTAAAGTTGTTGACACTTTAGTCATTAAATTTTTTTATTTTTACTTGTGAAGTACGAGCGCAAACATTTTCCAATGCAAATAACAACTTCAACATCTATGTTAAACTGTACTTATACTTTTGTTTTTCTAATTGAAACGATTGGCTATGAGCTACGTACAGGCGCATTTGATAGACATTCTTAGCACCCAATAAACGGCGCCGGGCATTCGTAAACCACGCCTCAAATACGAGAAATTGTGCATGTGGTTCCCAACGAGAATTGGGTCTGGCGTTAGCAGGTAAAACCCAACTGTTGAACTCTGGGGGAGTTGTAAAATGAGCCTATTTCCCAAAAAAAGTGGAGTATCCCTTTAAGGCACCCCCCCCCCCCCCTCTGCAAATCAGTTGAGCCGATATGTTTAATGTCAAACATTAGCCTGTATCAAGAGGTAACTTCGCGTCCGCTGCCAAGGTGGATCAATAGATATAAACGAACTGCTTCGGTGTCGCATAGACGTGATTGGTTCCCTATTTCAGGGGAAAATTTGCTTCATGGTGTCCAGGCTGCCTAGCAGCGAGAATAAAATCGCACTGCGGCGAGGCAGAATGGGGAAACACAGGCTAGTGCATTATAAGCATTGTAGGAAAATGTTACAAAGATATCAAGCAAGATCGAAAATCTGAAAATGCACTTAGTGTCTTAGTTTGTTGTTTTATAGCCTAATAATAATAAAAAATAGCATTTTGGCTGCTTTAAATATTAAGACATAAATCTAAATTATACATACTGTTTCACTGGCAGAATTTTATTCACTTAAAGAGAAAGTTCAAATGAAAATTGTCATAATTTACTGATATTACTCACCCTCCTTTATGAAATAAAAATATTTTGCAGTATATTCGAAAATATCATGCCATATATTAGGCAACATATTTCCATTGGATTTAATATTTATATTTTCCAGTATGTTGATACATATAGGAATATATATATATATATATATATATATATATATATATATATATATATATAGCAATCAAGACCAAAAAGGGCACTATATTTTTACATGTAATTGTTTTTACATGTAATCTTTATATGCTTTAATGTACTGCAATATTGTGCCAGATATGTGTGTGTGTGTGTGTGTGTGTGTGTGTGTGTGTGTGTGTGTGTGTGTGTGTGTGTGTGTGTGTGTGTGTGCGTGTGTGTGTGTGTGTGTGTGTGTGTGTGTGTGTGTGTGTGTGTGTGATTTTACATTTTATACTTTCCAAATAAACAACCATAGCATATGCATGGACATGCAAAAAGCAAACATTAAAGACAAAAATCTGCATTACACAAAAAACAGTTCCCTTTCAAGGGAACTTCGAGCTGCATTAGCTACGTGATGGGGAACGCTCTGCGTGATTGCGTCGTGAAGCGTCTGTACAATCAGTCCAATGAGAGAGTTGTACGTCGTGTGACGTCATAGACCAGGAAACTATAAAGCACCCTTGAGATCAGACCGCGACAGCTTCTGTAGCCTTCAGAAAGTGATCTCTGTACTCTGTCCTTGTCTATTTATTGTTGTTTGTCAAAACCCAATATATATATCACTATCTATATTTATGGCAAGCAAGCAAGATTATAGACGGTGTGTGGTTCCCTGCCCTCGTTATATCACGGGTGGGGACACACATCAGCTATTTGTTGCTGTTTGTGAGTGGAGCATGTCAGCAGTGAGTTCTCGAGAGAGCTGAGCTGACTGTGGGCGTTGCGAGAATCTGTCCGCGAGGACGCTCCGCTCCCGCCGGGTGTTCTCCGAGGAGGACGGTTCGGTTCGCGTTCCCCGCGCGGGTCTCTCTGTTGCCGAGGCACGGAGACGACTCGCATTTCGGGGTTCGTAAACGGATCTGACAGTCGCGGTTGGGACGGGCTCAGCTCTAGGGCTCATGCCAGATCTAGTGTGACTGCGATTTCCATTTCCGAGGAATTGGTGTCGTTAGTGTTTTGTTTAAAAAGAAAGAGTACAAAACAAATAAAAATCTTAAGAGAAAGGCAGATGTTTGAGTTCAATAAATAAATAAGTCAGCTCATATCTCTGATGAATAAAGAGGAGCTTTTAAAAGAAGGAGGTTTTATTTGTGCTGTTCCCAGTTAAAATTTTACTGGCCAGCTGAACATTATGAGATTGAAAATAAAGAAGACTTTTTTTTTTTAGATGAGATTTATCTTTAAACAAGAACTCTGTATCTCAGCCTCCTCGTCGGGGTCTGCGTTTTTATCTCCACACTGAGGTGTCGAGATCGTGGAATAAACCAGTTTGTATTTTATGTGTTTAATCCCCAGATGTCTAATTATAGTAATGTTTGGGTATTAAGTATCATAGTATGACAGTGCCTCGGGTTAGCTCTATCTCCCGAGTCGGTGTCAATCGTTAACCCCGATGTTAAGGAACCAGGGTTACATACGTAACCTGAGACGTTTTATTGAAACACAGTTGCCAAAACCACATTTACGCTTTACTGTAAATTAGAAAGAATATAAAGATATTCATAGATTTTTTTTTTCTTAAAAAATGTAAATTTGCCCTTAAATGTTCAATCCTCCACACTGGATCTGGTATACATGCGTACATGTAGGCTATATACCGAGGCAGGCTTGCATATTGCCTCGTTTGAATCCAGATTAATTGGCAAACCTTTTCTTTTGAACAGTGTCACATCAAATATCTGTTTCCTGCCCCGCAATTCCCTTTTCAGACAACTACGTTTTCAACATTAATCAGTGTGTTTTTTGATCTATCATACTTTCTTCCAAAAGCAAAACATTTTCTGTCACGACGTTGCCCTACTACATAAGTATACAGTGATTATGTGTCCAGTCCGCAACAGCACAGTGAAGCTGACCCCTTTCACGACCCTTGTGAACTCCTGTGAGTAATACAGCTCTCCGTTGACTAGAAGTCGGCTGAATATTTTCACCAGTGTATCGGTGCTGACTGAAAGTTGACCAGTGTCTCTTCACTAGAAAGTTTTCGAGAATAATGCAAAAGTTGATCGCAGACTCTTTCAAACGGCTTCAGTCTTTTCGGCCAATAGCTGGATGCATTCAGGAACAGCATTTCTCAGGGCATCATTCCTCAAAATAGGCATCATGTGTCTAAATGTCAATTGCTTTATTATCTGTAAAGGAACAAACTGAGTGCCATGAAACATTTTCAGTATTTCACCATTACATGACTCAAAAGTATAGCCAGAATGAGCCCAACAAAGGCGCCCAATTCGGACAGATTCTGGCAAATGAAGACATTACATTAAAGGGCCTCTATTTTTGGATTTATGACGAGTCTGGATATGACCCAAGTTCTTTAAAAGCAGGTTATTCAACCAAAGAAAATGTATGAAGCTGATCATGAGCTTGTCGAGCTTTGCCTGTGGCACACGTTTGTGCAATCACGTCACTTGCTTGGCCGTGAGTTCTGGTGGTTCGCTGAAGGCCTTCTGCTTTGATGGATGTTTTCTCAGTTACCAAAACATCTTCATCATTTAAATCAATGTCATGTTCATTAAACATGCGGAATTTAAAATATTTACTTTAATAAATAAAAGGTTTTCTACACACATCACATTTTCTTTTACATTTCATAATGCACAATTCTGGCTCACTGAAAAATAATGTATTTATATTTATACTTAATTCAATGTCATATTCATTCATATCAAAAGGGATAGTTCAGTAGTTTAGAAGTGGGCTTGTAAGAGGCCCGGGACAACATCATCTTAGATGGGCTCCTTATCAAAAGTGTTAAGCATCACTTTTAATTAAGCATGAACAGCGCAGCAAAAATAGACTCGGATCTGGCCGATTATCTGTTCACCGAGGCATTTCAGCCGGCTTTTTATTTCTCATCTCCATAAATATATCTAGTAGTAAAGCTAATGCAAACGCTAGAAATCAGTGAATTCTTAGCTAGTACTTCCTCATCATCACGGAGAGCGCAGTTCGCAACGCTTCGGGCATCAAGTACCGAGTTTGAGAACCTGTCTATGGAGAAAACCTGGTACTGTGGAGCGACGTTTAAAAAAATGAGTACCGAAGTCACTCACAAACGTTGGCTGCGCTGTTTCTTACCTTGCTCTACGTGGACTTTACTAACGTTAGTAACAGCTTCACCATCACCACCTTTTTAAAAATATTTCTTCAGGACATCTCGAAGGCCTCTCTTTTCTTCTTTGCTTCTGTTTTCTGTTCTTTTCTGAGCATCGGACTTGTGCTGACTGGACATTTTGGGCATAGCGTTAGCCTGCTGAACTTCAAATTCATTATGTAACTCAAATATTCAAAAAATATACATATTTTATTTTATTTTTTAAATAATTCCATAGTTTAATGAGGACCCAGTTCTGGGTAAAAGGGTTAGTCTACCCCAAAATGAATGACTCTCCCCCAAGCCCGTTCATCTCCAGAACACGGTTTAAGATATTTTAGATTTAGTCCGAGAGCTTTCTGTCCCTCCATTGGAAATGTGTGTACGGTATACTGTCCTTGTCCAGAAAGGTAATAAAGACATCATCAAAGTAGTCCTTGTGACATCAGTGGGTTAGTTACAATCTTTTGAAGCATCGAAAATACATTTTAGTCCAAAAATGACTTTATTCAGCATTGTATTGTCTTCCGGTTCTGTTGTGGATCCGCGTTCGGTGTCGGTGTGTCTAGGCGAAGGTCTTTCATCAGATCTGGATCTGGCGGACTGCAGTAAACCTCGGGATAAACAGACTAATATTAACGTAGACGAGTACGTCAGGATTTATGGGAAGTGTTCCCAGTTATGAGCTAATCTATGCAGCCTAACGTTGAGTTATAGAAGTATATAGTGTGTTATGTGTATGCTAGGCTAAAGAGCTTCACTGAATTTACTAACGCTAGACTATGACGCTGTTGTCTTCTAGAAACACACAGTGTTGCGTTATCTGTGTGTCCTCAGTGCTGTGAAACACTAATGCCGCCACCTAGTGTGTAACAATGGAACTGCATCTCTCAACAACAAGCATTTATACAAAATATGTTTTTATTGAACAGTAATATTAAATGTAAAAAAAATATCAATTATAGAAGAATAAGACATTTGAACAATAGGAAATATAAAAGCCAACAATTCAATCTAAAACCAGGCTACAAAAGCAGTGCACAAATAAGGGATTAAATTAAACGAAATAAAAAATTATAAAACTCTATATTCTAAAGCAAATCATTTTGACTGTGGTTGAATAACAGATTCATGAGCTCAAAGATTGGAGCATGACCTGTTACATCTCCAATTTAACCACAACTAGCACACTATCACATAGGCTCTAGTTTTAGATATAAACCACAGATTTATATTCAACACTTCATTCTGACACAACAACAGTATTGCCGTTTTGTTCTGGATTTAAGACCATGTTTTTTCTTAGAAAAAATGGGTTCATCTTATGTAGTTTTACATGTCAATAATGCACCCGGAACAACAGGTGGCGCCAAAGACGTGTGACACGAGTGTGCATATTGCGTCTTAAAACGGCGCCTAGATTTCAAAACTACAGCAAGATTTCACTTCAGTGTTGCCAGACCGACGATAATTATCGTATTTGTACGATAGTTTTGACCCCATTATGTGCGATAATTTCAGAATTTTGTGCCACTTCAATCAGAGGTCAATGTAATCATAGTGCTTCACTGATCTAGCTGTGGATCTACGTCATGAAGGTAAGAGCACGGCAGAGAGGGAGAGAGCGAGAGACCTTACGTGTGTGTGTGTGTGTGTGTGTGTGTGTGACCCCCTCAACCGTTTGGCTCGTGTACGATCATTTTCATCCAAACACGATCATTTTGAGCTTCTGGTGCGATACTTGGATATTTCCAATCTGGCAACACAGTTTCTCTCCATGAGACGGACAGACTAATGGTCATATAATCCAGACGGGCTTCAGGCTAGATCTATGTTATGCCAAAAAGTGTATATTTACATGTGATTTTTTTTCCAGAATTAAAAAATTGTCCCATTTTCAAGTCCCAAGTTAAAAAAAATCTGCATTTTTTTTTTAATAAAAGCATTTCCTCATAAAAATTTGCTCTTCAAAAAGCCTTTTTCCAAAAGATAGCATATTGTAGCATACAACAACACTGTATTTTTTGAGTTTCGAGGTCCAAAACAATAAATACACAACAACGACGTATCACCAGTGTTACTCTTCATTTAATTCGGATAATTTCCATGATTTAGGCACACCTTCAATTCTAAGCTTTGTTGTATGAAAGCCCCGTCAATTCCTCATAAATATGGAGGTGTTCACCGTGTGATGTAGTCCGTGTCACACTCTTCTGACGAGGTGTCAGGCGTTAGTCCACTCATGTTTCCGGCATGGGTCAGCATATATCCCGACGGAGAGTCCACATCGGGCCTCGTGTCCTCCAGCAGGAGCTCTTCCTCCTCCTCCTCTTCCTCCAGCACACAGTCGTCAGAGGCACATGGTCTCAACACGGACTCGAGGAGCAGAGGCTTACAGTCGCCGCTCTCCTGGGGTCCCAGAGCCCTCAGAGTGACTGAGAACAAGCTGACGTTCCCTGACGCATCTGAGTGAGTGTGTGTGTGTGGGTCAAACAGCTCTGAGACGAGGTTCCCCCGCCGGATCTCCTCTACGGCTGCTTCCCTGGAGTGTGAAGATGAAACTATAGCCTTCTCCTCGCTCTCATTAGTCCCCCACCCACTGTCATCTATCACACAACCCATGTACACGCCTCTATCTTCCTCCTCCTCGTCTTCCTCATCCTCCGAGTCGGCCTGTGAGAACAGCAGGACATGAAGATCAATACAGATCACATCATTTATCCGTCAATCAAAAAAATGATTTTATTAACCATGTTAACTTGTTTCCCACTTTATTTTTAACGTCAAGCACACAAGTTAAGAGATTAATATCATGTTTTACTCCGAAATCACTATATACACTGAATATACACACATCAGCCTCTGTGGCGGTTTCACAAAGATAGACTTTGACTACGTACAAAGCACTGAAGACTGACTATCTTAAGTAGGACTACACTGCAATGCATTCTGGGTAACATAAGACTTTTCAAAACAAAAAATGAGAGGAGTGTAACAGTTACAAGGACATTTTACCGGGGAAATTTAGCGGAGAATGTAGAAACGAGAAGAAATGTGTAATTTGGACAAAGATTGCTCAACAGCTAATCGAGCGGAGTGTTAAAGACGTACAGAAAAGATATAAAAACATGGTACGAGATGCCAAAAAAAAGAGAAATATTTAAGAGGAAATACACAAAAACTGGAGGAGCCGTCCAAGAGAAACTTAAATACACTCAAATGGAGATGAATATATACGGTGAGGGACATTTCTTTCGGCTGTTTGTAATGTAACTGTTACCTTGACAACCAGCAGCACCAATTAGTGATGTTAACTATAAAATTATGCAATCTTTGTTAAGAGGCTTTCATTCTGATGGCAAGGCTTCAAATTTTATTTTTTACTATTTTTTATAAGATGGTGTCATTTTTTTTAGTTTGGCCTATAAAACAAATATCGCTTTATTCCTGTTTTCTGGTTCGGCATATTATAGAGCCAACTGGATAAATTATGCAACGATATTTGTGTGTGTGTGTGTGTGTGTGTGTGTGTGTGTTTTTAATACGGAGAGAGAAAAACGGCAAATTCAGATCCAATCACTGTGAGCTCCAGTGGGGTTTTGCTGCCACCCAATGGGGGAAATATGTTACTACGCCCAAACAAACTGTTACCCAAAGCTCATTTTTTGAGATATCATCCTCAAATTTGGAACACAACCTATTTAGATTTATGGCTTTGATTTTATTGCAGTTTTGAGTTCAACCTGATTTAAAAATATTTTTTATAAATAATTTTCATAAACTTATACCTATATAACTTTTTTTGGATTTACTTATTATTATTTTTTTACTTCAGCAATAATACAAAAAGTATAATTATGGATATAATTGATTCTTTATATGCAAATAATGTTGTTTTATGTGCATTATTTTATTTATTTGTAAGGCAAAAGAATTTGTTGAGAAGTTGGCCATAGTAGTAAAAAAATTATTTAAGATCTTACGAAGGGTCACTATGGGCTACTGTCCTGTAGATGTTTCATTCACGGTGAAACGGCTTTTAATGGCGAGACTTTTGTTTTGGAAACAAGCTAAAAATTATTATTTGGATTTATCGGCTGTCAAATATCAAGAATTACCGTTATCGGCCAACCTATTTAGATTCATGACTTTGATTTTATTGCAGTTTTGAGTTCAATCTGATTTAAAATATATATATTTTATATAAAATATTTTTTATAAATAATTTTCATAAACTCATACCTATATAACTTTTTTTTGGATTTACTTATTATTATTTTTTTACTTCAGCAATAATCTGCAATTGGTCTTCTTTAAAATGATACCAAACTTAAGTCTGTGCTCCAAAGCGTCACATTTTTATGACAGTTTTTTGACATGGACATTTTTGCCCTCTTTTTACCAATGTGTAACTTTTTTTAATTGAAGCACAAGGGTTAAATTAAGACAATCTAAATGGATGTTTAATCAAGAACAAAGTCGAATGTATGTTTGCTAAAGCAGATTTATTACAAAACACCAAGGTATAGCCATACAGTAGATGAACCAGCGTTAGCCACGGTGCTAACTTACATGAACTCACCGAGTCACTTGCCCTATTCGCCACTGGTTTTCTCGACACCACAACTCTAACGTTACTTCCCCCGATCTCCCCCTGATAATTATCTGCCTGTGGGCCATTATCGGCATATTCGTCAACATCGCAGACCGCGGTTTCGTCGGTTTTCGTTTCGGCGTTTCCCTCGGCGATCGTCACTTCCGGTTAGTGCGTCGTAGACGCGGGAGCTATTTTATCACAATTTTTCTCAAAATATCGTTAATGGCTAAATTACTCCAGTTCAGAAAATCCAGTTGTTTTATCGTCAACATACACTATGCTATGCTATATAGGGGTGTCCAACCTGCATGTTGCTCTTTAAAGGCACAAAAAAACAAACCCAGACCTTGTTGGCGTAGTTCAGCTCGTGTTGGGGGTTCCCCGAGTCGTCCTCCACATTCAGTGTGTTGTTGGGTTTGGTGGGATAGTTTTTAGTAGATGCAGTGGTTAACTGAGCCTCGGTTGAGGACACTCGCTCACATGACGTCTCTTCAGGAATCAGATAGTGGGCTTGAGAAACGATGTTACTCTAAATGAGGAGAACAACACAGAGAGAAAGAGATGATCATTATATGTGGCAGGAGGACACGTGAGATTTACTCAAACTACGACACTACTAGTCAAAGGTTTCCTTCACAGACACGACTGAGGTGTTGAGGTCAGCGAGACTTGAGTCACTAATGAGCCCTTTAACCCTCAGGTGCTCTTCGGTCATTTCTGACCGAAAAATTTTCTGTTTTGAAATTTTAAAAATCACAGCTTCATCGCGATGTTACGAAACTTGGTGACTTTTATGGCATTATGTATGTGAACACACAAAAACATTGAGGTCATGATCTGAGCATGCTAAGTGGTCTTAAAAAAAATAGTCACACTTGTGGTCTTTGGTCAGAAATGACCCCCATAGGAAATGAATGGGAAATTGTAAAAAAAAAAAAAATTGTGAATTGTGAAAAATAGTTTTTGAGATTGATTCAACTATATATTCAAGTCCACCAACAACAACAGAAAATGTGTTCATAAACAGCTGGGGAATTCACATGCCTCTCAATAGAGAGCTGTACATGCCATCTAGTGATTACACCATGATTCTACGCTTTTTCTCTATACTGTAACCAGATGGTGCGAATTTTCTTCCAAAAAAATTTTTTTTCTGAAGCCCTAGACTCTATATTAAACTAAAATACTGCATTAATATTTTTTTGAAAAAAATAATATATATATAGAAAAAAATATATACTTTCCCATGGCAAAAATAAACCATAAATATTGCATAAATATTAATAAATTCAATTAAATTGTCTCAAAATACTAAATTAAAAAGAATAAATATTATAGAACAAAAATAAATTGCATTGGTTTTACTGGGATGGAGAAAGTTTCATTTTTAGGTGTCCGTTCACTTTTGACCGGGAAAATAACAAGTGTGACTCCGAAACGAAGAACACCTGAGGGTTAAGGAACAGTTACTGGGCTTCTCCATCATCATAGTCGGCAACGGTTGAGTTTAAACCCCAGCTCCAGCTTTCACCAACGCCTCGCAGTGCTGTGCCCCAACTTGAGATTAGAAGCTTCTTAGAACGTGATGATGCTTGATAATCACTGTGAAAAGGGCCACGAAACTAGCCACAGATGAGATGTTTACATCATCTGAAAGCTGAATAAATAAGCCTCCCATTGGTTAGTAAGGACAATATCTGGCCGAGATACGACTTTTTGAACATCTGGATGCAACTGAAACATTGAGAAAATCTCCTTTAAGGTAGTGCATTTATGCATTCACTCACAGAAATAAATGTTTTACATATTTACAGTAGGAGATTTACTAAATATCTTCATGGAACATGATCTTTACTTAATATCCGAATGATTTTTGGCATTAAAAAAAAGTATAATTGTGGATATAATTAATTCTTTATATGCAAATAATGTTTTAATTTATTTGTAAGGCAAAAGAATTTGTTGATAAGTTGGCCATAGTAGTAAAAAAATTATTTAAGATCTTACGAAGGGTCACTATGGGCGACTGTCCTGTAGATGTTTTTAATGGCGAAACTTTTGTTTTGGAAACAAGCTAAAAATTATTATTTGGATTTATCGGCTGTCAAATATCAAGAATTACCGTTATCGGCAGTGTTGTAGTCGAGACCACCTCACTCGAGTCCGAGTCGACACCGAGACCAGTGAGGGTTGATTACCTAATTTACTTTTATTTACTTTGAGAAATCCTTTTTTTTACTGAATTTACTTAGAGTTTAAAAAATATGATCAGTTTAGGGTAAAAAGGCCACATAGTAGGTGGTGTTAAAAGTAATTTTATTACAATTTGTCATGCGCAGTTGCGCACTAGAAAATCACCAATCACTGGGCGTGTCAATCAATTTAAAGAAATATTTTATTAACATACATTAATAATCATGAAAAATATTTTGAATTGAACTCGAGTGGACTCGGGAATAATTCCGAGTCCTAAAAAAAAAATGTTCAAGTACGAGTCAATTCCGAGTCCAAATGGACACGAGTCCATGACAAGACCAAGACCATTAAAATATGGTCTCGAGAGACGAGTCCGAGAACTACAACACTGGTTATCGGCCAACATTTTCATATCGGTGCATCCTTAAATAATATTGATTTTATACAGCAGATCAAAAGTAATTTTATAGACTTATAGAGAACTGAGCTGGACGATGACATCACTGCTTTATTGATGAAATAACTCCAATCATAACCATTTCTTAAAACAAAAGTGCTGCCACACTGTCAAAAAAACATTTTCAAGATTTATCACAACATTGTTTCTTTTGTCAAATCAACTTAAATAATTTATTTAGTTGAGATAACTTATAATGTTGAGTTTCTGATGGTTAAATTAATCTCCTTCCTTGTATGAACTCACTTTTTCCAGTTCAATCAACCACTTTTTTAAGTTAAACCAACAATATTTTTTTACAGTGCAGGTAAGAGACGCTAATGAAGTAAATGAACATGTATTAGAGACTCCTAATGCTGTGTTTGACAGACTCTTACCAGAGATTTAAGAGGAGGCGTCTTCAGCTTACAGAGAAACCCAGTGTAGACCAGACCCAGCGCTAGCAGGAGCGCAGCTACACCCGGCACCGACGCTCCCAGAGACCAGTTCATTACATACAGCCCTGCAGACACACGTTTACACAGTGCTTTCAGTCATTATAGAAGAAAACATGCATACTGCACTTTGGGCCGACTGCTCTTCTGGATGCCAGCCCGAACCCACAACATTTTTTGGTTCGGGAAGTTTGGTCTGGATTCGAAATGGTCGGGCCAATCAAATTATATAGTGTGTTTTACAGATCACTTGACGGACAGCAAAACTCAAGCGCTCAGTCAGTGTTCCAGAGATGGGCGATTGCAGAGGCAATTACTCGTTTCGCCTCAAACTTCGCCTCAACTTTAGGTCCGGCTTCTAGGGCTGGGTATTGACACAAATTTCACAATTCGATTCGATTTCGATTCCGATTCGATTCAATATCGATTATTTTGGATATCAGTTACAATAAATCGCCATTTTTCTCAAGGGAATCAAATCTCTAACTAATGCTGTAAACTATGGGAGTCTAGTTGTAGCCTAGGCTTCATTAGCCTAATATGAAGGTAATAATGAACTGTTTTGTAGCTATACAAACACCTAAATTACACTTTTATTTATTTTTATAAGAAGAAGATTATATGAAATTTAAGCTTTTAAATGGTGGCTGTCATAAAAACTTGCCAGATTTATTCAAATATGCATTAAATATTGAAGAACATTAAGATTATAATGCATATGTAATATGGTGTATATATTTAGCAAAATGCTCCTCTCTGGAGTTATTTTTTCTAGCTGACTAACGAGTTTATGTGGGTTTTCTGAGGTAAATATTTATGACGATGCTGTTTAACTGACGTCTTTCCACGGTTGAAACGCTGATTGTGAATCAATGTGACATGATCCGGATTTGGATAAGTTGTACTCTATCTTTAACACACTTTCAGATGCTCATTCATGTTTATTTGGCGCTGTGACTGGTATTATTAAGCCGGAAGAGAGATCAGCGCTGCTGCTTCTCCAGAGCGATCTCACGCCACAGCGACAAAACGCTATTTATGTTTCTGAATTTTTTAAGAAAATGGACGTAATTTGAAAATTGAGACTTTGTTTCATATCAATAGTAACAAAGGACAACGATTATTGTGATTTTTTGGATGCGCGCAGCCGCGATACGTTTCATTCATTCAAATGAAACAGGATGACTAATCGATTCTTGAGATTTAACAATCGATATCGGTTCGTAAAAATGAGAATCGATTAATATCGAGAAATCGATATTTATTACCCAGCCCTAGCAGCTTCCAAATTTTATAGAACACATTTTTGTTACGATATTAATTTTTAATATACCACCATACCGATGTATTTAATCACACGACGTTCGGAACGAGCGTTACGCCGAGAACGTTTTCATAACTCTCCCAAAACGTTATTTGTGAATGTTCTAGGAATATTCAACATGCCCAGTTTTTAGACTTTGTTGTATTGGTTTAAGAAAGTTATTCAAAACGTTATAAGAACGTTCAATTCTCCTGTTATATAAACGTTGTATTAACGTTATTTCCTGGTTAAAAGAATGTTATACTGGGCGCTAATCTATTCTACAATATACACTAATTACAGTAAAATAGTCAATTTAGTGCAGTAATTCCTCTGTCAACCAGTAGAAACTGCTTTGAACACCTGATTATGCATGAAAAAAATGGAAAACCGGCTTAATAAAAAAAAAAAAAAAAAACATGATGTAAGTTTTTGGTCAAACCGCCCAACACCAGGTCCTGTCATAGGCTTTATCGTTATTATCGCGGGAACACTAATTCTTATCTTGAGGAAGAATTTAACCGGTATATCGCAAACTATAATATATGGCCCATCTTCAACTTTTTTCTCAGCTCTGGAAGCTCTAAAAATGGTATCCTAAGGATTTTTGGCATGAAAAGAAAATGTATAGTGTTGACCCAGTGTTGTTCGCTACTGGCACAGACACCCCTGTGCCTCGGGACTGGGTTGGGGGTCCGGGCCATATGAGACTGGGATGGACTGGGATGAACTGGGATGGGGGTCTGGGCCACGTGGGACTGGGTTGGGAGTCCGGGCCACGTGGGACTGGGATGGACTGGGATGAACTGGGATGGGGGTCTGGGCCACGTGGGACTGGGATGAACTGGGATGGGGGTCTGGGCCACGTGGGACTGGGATGAACTGGGATGGGGGTCTGGGCCACGTGGGACTGGGTTGGGAGTCCGGGCCACGTGGGACTGGGATGGACTGGGATGAACTGGGATGGGGGTCTGGGCCACGTGGGACTGGGATGAACTGGGATGGGGGTCCGGGCCACGTGGGACTGGGATGGACTGGGATGGGGGTCTGGGCCACGTGGACTGGGATGGACTGGGATGAACTGGGATGGGGGTCTGGGCCACGTGGGACTGGGATGGACTGGGATGAACTGGGATGGGGGTCTGGGCCACGTGGGACTGGGATGAACTGGGATGGGGGTCTGGGCCACGTGGGACTGGGATGAACTGGGATGGGGGTCCGGGCCACGTGGGACTGGGATGGACTGGGATGAACTGGGATGGGGGTCTGGGCCACGTGGGACTGGGATGAACTGGGATGGGGGTCCGGGCCACGTGGGACTGGGATGGACTGGGATGAACTGGGATGGGGGTCTGGGCCACGTGGGACTGGGATGAACTGGGATGGGGGTCTGGGCCACGTGGGACTGGGTTGGGAGTCCGGGCCACGTGGGACTGGGATGGACTGGGATGGACTGGGATGAACTGGGATGGGGGTCTGGGCCACGTGGGACTGGGATGGACTGGGATGAACTGGGATGGGGGTCTGGGCCACGTGGGACTGGGATGGACTGGGATGAACTGGGATGGGGGTCCGGGCCACGTGGGACAGGGATGAACTGGGATGGACTGGGATGGGGGTACGGGCCACATGGGACTGGGATAGGGGTCCGGGCCACATCTGGTGGTGCTGCTGTTAAAGCGGTCATCTTACCACCTCTGGGCTCCACTCGACTGGTGTATTCGCACTTCCACTCTGACTCTTGAGTGTTGGGGTTGGAGTTGATCTGAGGAAGGACTTTCACACAGTACTGCTGTCCCGGCTGAAGGTTCTGCAGGACCGTCTGGTTCTTGAGTGTAGAGATGTGCTCGGCCTAGGGTGGACAACACACCAGTCCAAGACAAGAGAGGCTCAGTTGATGGGCCTTTGCAAGGACAGCTTTAAACACATTCAGTAAGTGCGTGAGCATCAACAGCACGGTATATCCGCTATCATATCCGTATTGGCCCATATATGACCATTTTTTATGTTATCGCTATCAGCCTGATGAGAAAATGTGTCTGATATCTTAAAGCCGATAAATAATGTTTTATGTCCTTCAGCTGAGACGCTGCAGATGCGACATGAAGGATTTAAATTGGCTTGAAAAATAACTGGAATCACTCATAAAATACAGAGCAAGTCTGTCATATCGGCTACATGCAATTATAATTGTGTATTTGGGACGTGGCTTTTAATGCTGAGACTGTAATCAGGCTCTCAAAAATTACATACAAAATTGGATTTAGATTAATCTGTCAATTTATTGGCTTTCAAATAGAGCCCGACCGATAAAGGATTTTGAAGGCCGATACCGATACAAATATTTTGGGGTTTTAAAATCCGATATTCCGATATATCGGCCGATATTTTATTTATTTATTTATTTTTTTTAAATTGGACATGATAATCACAAATTTTGTCATGCTTATTTGAGTTAAGAGAACTGATGGGGATGTTCTTTTAATTGTTATTCAAGCAATGTATGTGTCGTGACCAACTCAACGAGTGTTGCCAACAGGGACGGTGTAGAGCGCCCTCTGGTGGACAAACTATACAACTCCAACACTCATGACATGGTTCAAGCGTGTTTCTTCCGTTTTTATTTTATTTTTGAAATATTCATTTATCGGCCATTATAACTGCAGATACTGATAGTTTGGAAAATGCCTAATATCGGCCGATAATATCGGTCTGCCGATATATCGGTCTGGCTCTACTTTCAAATATAAATAATTATCGGTACCAGTCAAAATGTTCAAATCGGTGCATCCCTAATGAACAGTGATTACGTAGATTTTAAGATGTTACACAATGTACCAAATGTAATGATTCAGCAGTTTAAGTAAGAGTGTAACTAGATAAATGTGTGAATCTCGCAAAACATATAAACTGTCCGTTCATTACTAAATAATAAGTGCTGGTTCAAACACAGTGATTAGGAGGATCACGCGAGATACTGATTAACAAATGTTAACTAACACATCCACACACAGAGGAACACTCACCTCAGTCTGTCCGGCTTTCCTCCAGCTGATCTTGTACTCCACAGAGTTATAGAAGCGTCCGGTTTGCGGTGTCAGGGGTGTGTCCGGCGGCGGAGAGATGCTGATTTTCAGGCAGTTCCCACAGCCGGACAGGGACACGTCGGGCGGGCCGATGCTGGCTGGACACAGCACAATACAAGTCAACAACTCTGGATCATGCGACCACATCACATCATGCGCAGATGTTCCAGCACTCACTGTCTTCGTACGGTGTGATACTGGTGTTCACTTCCGCCGATCTGGCGTTTCCGAGCGACGCCCACACACTGAAAGTGCAGTATGTGTAGATGTTCCTCAGCGCTTTAGACACATCTACTGTTGCACGCGTCACGTTCACACGCACTGCGGACTTTCCTGGTTTTTTACTTCCTTCACAGCTGTAAAAATACATAAATCAGTGGTAAAAACAGGACAAAATGTAAGAAAGTGAGAGTTTGCGCTAGGAAAAACTAAAAACTTTAAAAGAACAGTTGTCTCTTGGAAACGTTCGTGTGAGCTTTGACTGTTTTTGCTAAATGCTAAAGTTGTTAAAGCTGAAAGTGAAGTAGTTTTACATCAATCTCCATTCAAGTCATCACTTATGCAGCACGGTTAGGGTGTGCCGGCGTCAGAACTGGTGATGGCGGTTATGACGCGAGTCATGTGACGGTAGAGGTCCACTTCTGCGACACCACATTTGTACTTCGATGGGCGAGTAGGGCTGTCGCGGTTATGGAATTTACCTTGCGGTAATGTTGAGTGGCTCAATAGCGCGATATGTAGGGTTGGGTATCGTTTGAATTTGAACGATTCTGATTCCGATTCCGATTCCTTGTTTCGATTCCGGTTCCTAGCGATTCTCGATTTCGATTCTTTTAAGAGGCAGGGTCAAAAAAGTTTAGCTAACCTTGCTAACCAACGGCCTTTCTGAAGGAAATACTCCTTCTGTCACAAATACTTGTCACAAATTTTGCATTTTGCCGAGATTTCGTTAATTTTTAGAAAAGTGAAGCCACACTTTGGACCGCCGACGTAAGCTACTCATGTTCGACTCGGTAGACGCTTCTTCGTTGGTGTTATTCAGCGGTTTCTTCTTCCGCTCGGCGGACTGTGAATATCGAAACTAGGAATTTAAATTTTAACTTTTGAACGATTTCGGGAAAAACGAAAAGTTAGTCCCGGTTCCAATCGATACTCGATTCTCGATACCCAACCCTAGCGATATGCAGTGTTACCGCCATTTATTTACTTATTTAATTTATATGTTTTTGTTGCTATATAAATAAAGTTTACGATGTGGACAAAAACGAGGACATTTTCAGTAACCGATGTAACCGAAACTAAACAGCGTCTACACAGTATATTCACTCAGCGCGCATGCATATTGTTATGACAACGGACTTTGAGCGAGTCATTGAACCGTTCATTTAACGAACACGTTTAAAAAAGCTGATTCATTAAAAGAGATGTAAAGAAACAATATGTTAATTATTTTTAACTTTGAGGTTCAACTTTTCAAGGCTCAGCTGAGCTGCAATGCTTATTAGAGGCACATATTAGCATTTGATTCAATGCGTGACTCGCTGATTTTATTTGCCCGCGGCTTCCTTGTGCTGTGGGATGCTGACCAGCGCTGCTGCTGACGCGCATTTATGGGAAAATACCCGTTAAAATGATGATGCGACAAATATTTCGCTTCCCTTTGACACGACAAGCTTTTCACGACTTCAAAGACAGACGCAGGTAATCGCACGCGCTCTGCCGATCTCTCTCATTCACTGTCTGTGTGAAGCCTACACATCACCATGATAAACAGTCTTGGTATCATTATGAACTTGTTTAACATTCAATATACTTGCATTAAATTCAAAACAAGAAGGGTATAGCCTTATTAAAAAAAAACGTGAATATTGCGGTTGCTGCGGTTACGTGTATAGACAAAAGGAGGAGCTATTATAGGCCCCTTATGGCAACGTGACATTACCCTAATCCAAAATAGTGTTTTATGGGCTATATGCACGCATAAATTCCGCATTTGACGCAAGGATGCTCGTCCATTTCCGGTTGTGGAGATTAAAGTGGAGGAGAACCGAGGAAAACGGGATTATGGCAGAGTCTTCAAAATTTACTGTCCTCCTGATGTAATTTTATATATAGTTATACATTTATTTAATATAATTTTAAAAAGAAGCATAAACACAACGAGGGGTGCCTGTTTTATCTGTTTTTGTGACTAACGTTTCTTTAGTATAACCATGGAGTATAAAATTCAATATAAATTCTCGGTATTGCATTGGACTCTACGATTGGCGGAAGTTATCGAGCATCCTTAATCGTTCACCGGAAATACCGCCGTGCATAGAGCCCATTGTGTTTTACGTTGGTGTCGCCTGAATTGCTCGACTCACCTTTGCTTGACGTTGAACACGGTGCGTGGAGGAGACGCTATCCCAGGACTCCACTGCAAGATGTGCCGGAAGTTTTGGGACACTATAGTGAGGTTGGCCGGAGCAGGGATTGTGTGGAGCACTGGAAGAACACACACATCACACACTGAGCAGAAACATGCTCACAGATAAAAGAAAGCTCATTTAATTCAATAAACTAAACAGGAAAAGAAATGAGCCATTTCATATTTCATAATCACGATCCCTCATTTCAATCTCTGGCCTGTGAATTTTCCATTTTCATCGTGTGGTTTTCCACATCTTGTTTTAAAGATATTTGCAGGGTTTTATTATTATGTTATGCACTGTTTATTATATAAAATAAAAATATGACATTTTTATTAAGATAGGGCCCTATTAAATCAGAATTTTTCCAAATCCCACATTTTTTTTTTTTTTTTATCTTTCTGGATTTTCCCCCCTCCATTTTAAAGGTTTGTAAGTAATCAAAAAGCATGTCTAATTTTTTTTTTTTTTTTTTTTTAATAAACAATCTAATTTCTAATCTTTTCTGTTTAAAATTTTCTGGATTCCATTTTAATGGTTTAATTAAATTTTAATAATAAGCTATTTTTTTTTTCTTTTTCTTTCTAGCAATCAAATGAAGGCATAAAATATTAATTTAGTTTATCTTTTAATCGCGTTATGACATCCAAAATACAATCTCATGAAAAAAAAAAGAAAACATGACTATTTTTTTATTTATTTAATGTTGTTATGTTAAAAAAGTGTGCTTGTTGAAAGTGCCAGATTATTAAAATATGTATTCACTCATAACTTACAGCAAAGATTATGTTAATACCTTAAGTATAAAACTCTACAGTATCATATTTAATGCACAATTTTCTAGGGCCTATAAATGATCAAAACGACTGACACTTTGCAGAAAAAACTGTTGTACTTCATGTCTTCTGATTGAGTTTTAGCCTTTCCAGCTGTGAAATCTTTCATTCTTTTACTTACGCCATTTTTTTAAATGTTTTTTTAACTTTCTTCATATTAAAGTAAAAGTCAAATATGACACAACAGGCTTTAGAGAAACATTTATTTTTCAATCTCTCAATTTTCATTGAATTGCGATGGATATGAGCCATAAAAGCCTAATGTATGAAATATGAATATAAAACAACACATGCATATATATTCACTGTACACACACACAAGTGCATACATGTGTTATTGTTGTGTATCATACTACACACACACTTCTGTTGACCTAAAAACTGTACTCAATATAGTGAACTAAATTATTAATGCCCAATATTAAATATTAAACTGATTCTCTAAAACTAGCCACAAATTATTAAGTCAATAGATAACGTTCTCTTTTATACATAAGGACGACCTTTTCCGTGATGAGATACAAAAAAATATTACATTTCAACAAACAACAACTTTCCAAGTGCCCTCAAATATTGTAAATATGTGAAATCTGAAGGCGAGCAGATTTCCCACTACAGGAGCTCATATTGTTTTTAAATGCTAAACAACGATTGTGTGAACAAAATCAACAGATCTAAATACTCACATCATGAACCAAGAGAAATGAGGCCTACAGTGAGTGTGTGTGTGTGTGTGTGTGTTCTCTCAGATCTGTACCTGTGATGTAGAGGGACATGAGCAAGAGATGGCACACGTATGCTCTCGTCATTATGACTGTCAATCATAACTCCCCAACAGCAGCGACCTCACACTGAAGACAACACAAGTGATGAAGACACACACCAACGCTTAACTTTAGCTGGACAATAACTTTATTCTGCTATAAACGAAAGACAAAATCATCTCTCTCTCTTTCATTTCCTATTATCTCTGTAAAGCAGCTTTGATATTGTTGAAGAGCTGAATAAATGAAGGAGACTGAATAAATGAGATCAGAAAGTGAAAATATTAGGCGTGTAAAACATTCAGAAGATGCTATGACAAGCCCTGGTGTCACAAAGATGAAATAAAGCACATTACAGACATGCAAATTTAAAAATGTAAATATATGTATCTGTTGTCCGGTTGGGTCTTGTGGTTTTCTCAAAATTAAACCATAATTTTGCATAATAAATACCTTGATCAGTGTGTAATGTGGTCTTGATACAGTCACAGTCCTGTGAAGTCTTACACCACTGACTGAGCTGATCTGTTCAGAAACACACACTCCAACACGTCAACATAAACATTAGGGTTAGGGTTTATGAATTATTAGCATTAGGGTTTATGAATGTAGCATGTTGCTATTATTTGAAGTACATTGATTGGTAAAAATTGGTTAAAATCATGATAAATTCAATTTGATATCGTGTAGTACACATACATATTACTTTAAAAAGTTCAAATATGAAATACCGGGTTAATAACACATGTGTTAAAGCGACCTGTAACACTGAATTACTCACTGTGTGTGTGACGGGTGACATGATACGTATCAAGGTCCACTTGTTCACAACACTCGTTTAAACACGTTAAAAGTTCTTCACACTACCTGTAACTCCATGCCGATCTGTCCTATCGGTAAATCATGTGTGTGAGAGAGCGGTTATTACGTTTAATAGCGCATTTATTAATAGACGAACCGTCCGAAGGGGGTTCCTGAATCTGTTTCCACACGTCACTGACACATGCACGCGCTTCCCCGACACAGCGGCGCGTCACGTGATTTTCACTTAAACACAAACAGGTTCAGGGGAAATACATTTGTGTTTGTATGTGTGTGTGTGTGTGTAAGCAAACTAAATGTTTTATTTTACCTGCAGACTTGAAGTGTTTTGCGGTTTCTCTTTTGTTCCACTGCTTTAATAGTAAATTAATATTATTATTAAATTTATTATTATTAATAAACGTTAAGTTTGCCTGAGACATGGCCATGCGACAAATATTCATTTAGATTTGTTCTTAAAACATAATACACATTTTGATGTGTAAAAGTATTATAAACAACATTCTTTATGATGAGAATTTATCTTTAAATACAACATTGAATTATTGAAAAGTTGCAATATTTTTGAACAATTAGATTAGAATTTATGTAGGCCTATTTTAATACATAAATACATTTCCTTATTAAATATTAAGTAGTGTATTGGTAGTTGGTGCATGTGCTACACTCTTAAAGTCAGTAAAAACAGTTCACAGTGTACTGTGTTAATATTAGGAATTATCCCTATTGATTTTTCACAGGTGTTTAACTGTATTTTTAATAACTGAGGATAATGTCTGACAGAAATTTACCAGTATCCTTTCCATTTTTTCAACATATTTTCTTCTTCTACCAACTGAACAATAATTATTGGACCATGCAGGCTATCATGAGCGAACAATATTTGCAACTTAATTCCCTACAATGTATACTTTCTCCAGATCTGTTCACTGGTTTTCTCTGTTTGTGTAATTAAGATGAAAATATATGCCTTTTTATTGTTTGAGGCACATTTCAAAAGTTGGCAAATACATTTTAAAAACAGCTAAATTTGTTGCTAGGTGCTTTTTGATAAAAGTTGCTAAACAAAATTGCTAATGGCGAGTTCACACACTTTTCAGAGTCAGATCACTGTAGCCTGTATTGCGATCAGAATTGTCTGTTCACTGATTTACGGAGAAAAGGAGAAAAAGAGAAACAGATTTTGCCGGAGGGAGTGGTTGAGGAGACGAGGGAGTGTTTCTGTAATAAGAGTCGGGGCCCGGGGGTAAATGAATAACTTTGCTGGTCAAGCACATGTTTGTGCTGTGTCTGTGTGATATAACTGTAAATATATCTATAAAATGCTAATATTCTGGTCTATCCACCTTATTCTGCTATGAACAGTGCGTGCTGCCATGACGACGACTCCAGTTGCCAGCTTCCGGTTAGACTAGATACCCTATTGGCCACTGGAAACCGAGAAATCCGGCCGCCATCTTGAACCGGTCGTCTTCCTAGTCTCGTTGCGTGGCAGCAGATTAGATGCCAGAGCATTGTGGAGCATTTTCCTATTCTTATCGCCGAACCATCGAAAATAGGGCTTTTCACAAGTAAGTCTTAACATTACCGTACTATTGGTTGTATTTTGTGAATAGAATATTACCAGCTAATCGAGAAGGAGCAAGGATATTTGCTATTACTGTACTGAAATCGTAGTGAAATGTTGTTTAATGCATCAGCCGGTGTTCACCCGGCATGGAGAGGTGGGGTAACTGTTAAAGTAATAATTACAAGAGCTTCTAGGTTATCAGATAAGCTTTCAACTGCCCTGTTGTATAACGTTAGGTTATACACGCATGACAGCGATGCGCAAATTGAGTTACCCCTCCAACTTCTAGGTTTATTGCAGTGTTGGGTAAGTTACTCTAAAAAAGTAATTAATTACTAGTTACTAATTACCGCTTCAACAGTGTAATTAGATTACTGTACTAATTACTCTCTCTAAAAAGTATTTAATTACTTTTAATTACTAATTACTTTCAAAATCCCATATCAGTCTCAACCAGCTGAATAATACAAGGATAGACATGAATCTGTTTTAATTCTTTCAAATAAATACTATCAATTGCATGAATTATCCTTAAACTGGCCAAGGAGGAGAAGGTTATATTATAAAAACATACTTTTTAGCATCAGAAAATACATCTTGATGTTAAATCCACTATTGTTTTATGTCTGATCTCATGACATTTCACACTTTTTTCATACATATTTTACAATAATTCATACGAATTTGTACAAGTGCGGTCGTACGATTTAGACACCTCATAAAATGCATACGAATCACTGTGAGATCGGATTTATCAATGCATAGTATATACCTCAATTACATCAGAAGTAACTGTAATTAAATTACAGCTAAATTAAGAGTAATCCCTTACTTTACATTTTCAGGGGAAAAGTAATTAAATTACAGTAACTAATTACTTAGTATTACTTAGTTACACCCAACACTGGTTTATTGATAACCTATATCTTATCACTTGCGATTTGGCTATTGATATTACAGAAGTCCTGTGGTAAAATTACATTATTAACTTACTCCATCTACCCTTGTAAAGTTAATCCGAATAGAGCTTTAGTCACGACATTTTCTCCTCCCACATCCACATACAATAAAAAAGGTATAGGCTGTTGTCCGAATTTAATTTTTAGAAATTACTGATGCATTTCTAGGTTCCAATTTGGCCTTAGAAAACCAGTCAAATGTAATTTTTTTTCATATTAATTTGTGAATATTTTAAATGTTTAATAAAGGGGCAAAAAGTCATAAACAAATATCTGAAAATTTGTCGATATATATATATATATATATATAGATGAACACCAACATTTTAGTTTCACATGTAGACCTACACCAAATGCTGCGAAAAAATATATATATATAAGTTTTCTATATATATATATTTGTATATTTTTACTATATATTTTTTTTCGCAACAACAATACAACAACCATTAATTTTTCGTTTTGCAATTACGGGTAAACGAATACAAGTACTGACCGTTTGGACATAATACGAGACAGAGTTCTTTATTAAATTCATAAAATAAACAATAATTACAGGAATAGCCAACTGGACTCTAAACCTCAAAGAAATGCCACAATCAAGACCTCGGAGCAGAAATAAGAGAGAAAAACCCAGGAACTCCGTGTCTTTCCCAGGCATTAACCCTTGGATAACACACCACGTCTCCTTCCATTAATAATAATAATGTCTAGTGCGTTGGCTGGGATATAAACCTACTAACGTCCGTTGCCATGATATTTGGAATGACTGATCGCGAGAGGAAAAAACGATGTTGTAGTCGCATTACATCGGTTAATGGAAACGCCGTCATTTCGCAATAGTTTTTATCGACATTTAGAAAATATCGCAAAAGTTTTGCACAAATCTGTAATGGAAACGCGCCTAGTGGCTCGGAATAAAATGTGCGTAAATGAACCTAGGGAAGCTAACCACAACACTAGCATTAGGGCTAATCAAAATTCAAGAAATATCCCTAAAAACTACTGATAGGACGAGGAAAAGAAGAAACTTTACTCACTCCACATCTGAGTAGCCAAATACTACCTTGATTGGGTATCACATAACCCAGACTGATCTCATGAAGTAGCGTGTGTATGACACGCCAATTCGTATTTCCATTTTTGGCGTGCCATCAACACGCATAATCACTTTTCAGCGTGTTTATGAACGCCGTTGACTTAACGTTATTACTGTATATATAAATATATGACTTACCTCAACCCCGTCCCTAAACCTACCCGTCACTGGGGTTAATGGCATTCATGACTGTTCCCTTACCATTCTAGGGAAAAAAAGATCGCTCCCCAGATGTAGATCTACATTTTGCTTAGTTTCGCGCGGACATTTGACGGCGTGTACAGACACGCGGAATGACGCGGACGTTAATGGCGTAGACAAACACGCATACGTGGATACACGCGGATAGCTCAAAATGCGTCGAGATAACACGCCACTTGACTCGAAATTGGCGTGTATGTTTACGCAAAAGTCATGATGTCATGTTGACATAACCAAATATATCAGAATGGCAAGGACTGAAAATCTAACAATGGCTGATATATCAATAGAAATGTTGCCAGTGATTCTCTCCACACATCCAAGCAACATGCAGATTATTATTCACACTGGGTCTTTTGACATTCTACAAAGGAAAACTGGCTCTGGGATCCTGACAATGGATTTCTCTATGCTACTGGAGAAATCAAACAACATGTTTTCATCCCCGCCCCGATTCCAACCGTGGGGAAAGGGACTGAATCTTTTAGCAGACTCCTTGGGCTGAGACCGTTGGGACTGTAAAGACCACTTTAGATCTGATGGGGTTCATCCAAGCATCATGGGATGCGGCTGCTTGGTGCCAACATACGCCACGCTGTCGGAATGCCATTCCCAAACAACATGAGCATAAAGGACAGTATTCATAGACAGTGTCCACTCCCTCACTCCAGATCCCCCAACTAAAAACAATCAATGCTTCCAGAAGTTGTCTTTGTCCCAAACAGGGACACAACTCCCACCACTACACCAGAATCACACCCATCCTCTCCCCCTTTATCACACACCCCCCTCCCTCCAACACACTCACCAATCAGGGAGCTAGTTCTAATGCTTCTCTATGTCCCACCCCTCCCCACTGTTTAAAAAAAGAGGAGGAATGTTTTTACGCCACTCCCGAATAAATGAATCCACCACCAACAGGTTCCTTGACCTCTTTGAACACGATCTCTGTTTGTCGTTTTTGCTTTGAGAATATTTTTGTGTGACAAATTTTTTTTTTTTAGATGTTTTATGGTAAACACAGTTGCCATAACACGTTTATTTACAAGCAACTATTTTATCTATTGTTATACCATGGTCTGGGTGAATACTCGATTCTGATTGGCTGCAGGGTGTCCGTTAAAAAGTGATAGAGGACACCTAGTAAAGTAGTTCTGGTTAGACTGCCTGTTTACCATTCGAAGTTAATAAATAAATAGCGCTTCGGCGGCGGCAACCGTCCTCCGCTGCGCATGGGCCGGTTCACGCCTCGCCGTCGTCCATTAAAACCTGGCAATGGACACCTCGTCGGGCATTAACCCTTACATATTATGGCTATTGCAAATAATTGAATGCATGAGGCTGGGGAAATGTAATCCACACCTAAATAGATTATCTGCAGGGTTTAAAATGTCTAATGATATGACAGTGTTACCCGCCACAGTTTAACTGTTGGGGCAAAGGTGTGTCCACCTTAGGAGTGTGTTCATCATAGCGAAGACCCGGAGCAGTTTTGTAGCGTGGTGGAGACTGGAGCGGACCTGTACCCTCCCGGTGCGGATTAATGATGGCCACAGGATGGATGATGAACGATCCTTGAGGAGGAAACAATGCCTCTTTATAGATCTGGCTTTTTCTCAGGACTCTTACAGGATATCCCACAAAAACATTAAAGTGCCCTATTATTGATTTTTGAAAATGGCCTTTCATGTAGTGTGTGTGAATGTAAACAGTCTGCAAAGTTGTAGAGCTGAAAGTGCATCATATATAAAGTTAGTTTATCTCAATCGAAAGTCGACTCTGAACCGCTCAAACGAGTCGTCAGGAATGCAAATCTATTTTGCTAGTTCACACGTCCCGACTACGTTCGCATAAGGCCCGTCAGGACATCTTGCTGTAGCTCGTTCGGTGAAAGTACCCAGTTCATTTGGACCATCTTACTCCTCAGAATCACAACCTGTAAGTATGAAGTATGATTATTGATGAATATATATTTTCTAGCGGGTGTTCAGCATGAGTAGTTTTGTGTTTTACAACATCATGTAGGTCTCCAGCTAACTGTCTAACTGAAATACTTCTGATCATCTGTGGGCCACTATTACCTAAAACTGTCTGTTAATGCAGATTGTCTGTCGTTCTCACTATACTTTGAGTAAAGATAAAAGAATGGAGCAAGATTTGTTTTACAATGTAACATCAGTCATTCACGTTAGCGCTAGGCTAACATATACTGATACAGTTCCCGCATGTGTTTCAGCAATAATTATAAATATACACATGGGTTTGTAGCTGGACATCATGAATTACAGTTGCAACATCTCATCTCAGTAGCGTATCACTGAGGAGCTCCTGCTCGAGTCGTCCTTGCGATGGAGGTTCGGGTCGGATGGCTAGTTCTTCCAGACTCGCGCTCGGATTGATATGGTTAAATAAACGCCACACAAATGCCAACTGTGTTTAGTTTACTGTACAATCTCTGAGCTGTAGGAAGCCTCCGGAGCTGAAGTTCACCCAGATAGCAAACTGACATTGAATCAACGTAGAAACATGACATCGAAACAACGTTGATCTGACATTGTTTTGCTCATCGAATTAACGTTGAACCAACGTCAGACGCGTCATTCTTCAAAACTAACGGAAAATCAACTTGAAATCAATGTTGTTTCAACGTTATGAAAGCAAACCAATTTTCGATTTTCATTTAGCTTTGAAGAATGCCGCGTCTGACGTTGGTTCAACGTTAATTCGATGAGCAAAATCATGTCCTGGCCAGTGGGTGTAGCACACACACACACACACACACTTGTAGAAGATGTTGGCTAAATTTTCAAATTTGCAAAGGAAAACCTCATTAAGGTCTTGTGCATCTGGAAACTGTGTGATCTGCTGACGCAGGGCTTGAGTCTTTATGGTTCCTGTGTGATCCAGCTGCAAACAGAGGATACTGGTGCCGGAAACACCCGCGACTGCACACGGTGTGTGTTAGCATTACAGTTATCGGCACGGTTATGGGCTTCATCATCCTTATCAGTGAAAGTGCACCTCGAGGTCCTGCACACCATCATTTCCAGCGATGGCGTTATTTCAGCATAGATCGGAGAAGCTGTTCTTTTAACCTGTAATTAAAAATATCTTATAATGTAAATCTGTAAACTTGATGTATAAGCACATAGCAGTTCAGTTTAAATTAAGAAATGATGCATAACAAAATCTGAATTCAAATATTAACCCCAAAACATCTGCAGATACAGTAGTATGTTTAACAGCACCTCAGCCAGGAGTCAGGTTTCAGTGCAATTGTGGATGTAAATGTGTAATGCACATAGGTTTATTTACAGAATACACACCTGACACTTATAAAAGTCCACTGATGATGTGACAGAATTAACAATAATACTCAGGCTAACTAAGATATAGTAAACAACTAATCTTTGTGTGTTTGCATATGCAAAAAAACAACAACTAGGCTATGTATTGTGCATGAATTCATTGTTAAATATCCCAGACCTTTTGCAAAGTTTTATTGTATTTTGCTTTAGTAAAAATTGTGTTCTTGCCACAGTTTATTAATTATTATTATCATTATTGTTTACATCATGTACAAGATAAATGTATGTCAAATTATAACAACTGTATTAGGACAGTTGCAGAATTATATCAAAGCACAAAAAAATGTAATAGGCCTAGTATACAAATTAAAATAACTTGGAATAATTCATTGCTGAATAATAACTGGTAATATTTAAAAAAAAGAACAAATGTGGTAGTTTATGGAGGTTAAAATGGTTACTATGTCGAGCGTGAAACCCGAGCCTGAAAGCACATGTCTCACACTGAATGCTGCGCATGCGCACTGAAGTGACGGACAAACCACGCCCACCGTAAGACTTCAAACATCAAGACAAAACCGGAAACAGAACAAAAGAAAATGAAAGTGTCTGAATTCCAGTCGAAAAAATATTGTTTTTGTTTTTCAACCTCAAGCGAACGCGTATAATGTTGCAGTGTTTAAACGGTGCTATGTGAGAAAGTGTAGTCGAGCCTGTGGTAAATAAATCACAGAATGAGCAAAGACTGGACCGATGTAAATCTGACGGACACGCGCAATGTGTACAATAACACGAACACTGACAGCGGCTGTCCTGCTTCACATGGGTGAGTGCGATATCATATATAATAACCTGTTTATGAGGACTAGTGCTGCTAGATGACATCTGAAAAACTGTTATTCCATGTCAAATACACAAACAATAACATACTTCCCATGCGGGGAACATTATTCTGTTAATATGTTTGGCTAACTCTGGAAAATCAATAAAAACAATGGGTCCCAAAGTGGCTTTAAGTACAATGTACTTACATCGAAAAATAAGTACAGCGTATTAGTGAAGTGTCAACTGTGTAATTACAAATGTAATTTGTTAATAATAGCTGTAATTACATGCTGGTATTTTTAAAATATAAGTACAATGTAAAAACATGTAGGGGAGAGCGGGGCACGACGTAACACTTTTTGACTTTCTCAGTTTGTGTAAATCTACGCGGGTTTAGAGTATTTATTTTCCCCCACATTCATTTCCCACATGTCTATTACACTTATGTGGCTCTGTTTTATTAATACAGTGTATACTTTTTTCTTGATTTACCCTGAAAGAATGGAAGTGAAATGTGACAACATGCCCCATAGGTGTGGTACATTGTAACATCACCATATGACAGCTTAAAATGCTATCTGATCTAATAAAACAAAATATATAATTAAACCAAAATATTTTCTTACTAAAATACAGTTGTTAACTTTTTCATATAAAATATTTATAAATAAATAAACAAATTTTTGAGTTTGACAACAAACACACCGCAAAACACGGCTATACAGCATAGTTCAAAACAAAATAATAATGATAATTTCTGAACATTGACTCTCAGTCTTTATTTACATGTTTCTCATGTTTTCATATTTCTAATAGGGGCACATTTTAACACAGTGTGACAACATGCCCCGCCTCCACAAACCCGGCTAGTGTCTTCTGCTAGCTAGCGAAGCATTAAAGAACGATATATCAACTGTTAAACAACAGATTGGAGATTAAAATAATATCAGATTTGTCTCATTTAAATAAACACAAAAAATAGAGATGAGAAACTTAAGAAATGTCCTTTTGCTATGGTTAAATAAATGCGCAGTAATAACTTACAAAGATTTCTAAATTTGGGGCAACTTTTTCTCTTTATAGTGTTGAAATGGCAACCAGTAATTACACCAAGTTTGGTCATGCTAGCATGTGTGGAAGTATTCAAAACAAACGTGTTACAACTAGCTGTGCCTCGCAACAAGTCCATTTTATCAAATTATTCATTTCAATGTAAGTACATAGTACTTAAAGCCACTTAATATAAAGTTGGACCAAAAAAGGTAAGCTATTCTTCTTTATTTTGCTTCCATTCGACTGGTAATGTTAATGTGAATGATGTAGTTTTTGAGCATTAAGTGTTTGTACAAAGGACGAACATAAAAACTAAAACCAAGTGGGTTTTGTCCTGTTAACTGCCTTTCACATCCACATTAATAATCATCATAAATTAGCCATCATTTGAACGCTTAAACCCCTAGTATTCATCATGTGAACACTTAAACTTGTAAAAATCATTTAAAAAATAAAATTGTATTTGTGTAAAATAAAAACACTTGCTTTAAAGAAATTAATTTGAACTCTTTTTGAACTACATTCACTTTAAATCATTCTCACATCGTTTTGTGTTAAAGCAGTGGATCACAGAAACACAATGTTATAAACTGAGATTTAATCTGTACTCTATGCACGTTAGATTTAGATATGATTCACAGCCTATCGTTCGTCCACTTCTAAATGCGCCATTAAATATGTTAAAAGCTTGTGCTTTACATTTATGCGGTGTCGTTTGATAAGTGTGTTGAAGGAGTGTGTGGTGGCAGAGGCGGATTAGCTTCTCGTGTGGTGAAGACGACAGGAAACCTGAAGAGAAGTGAAGAACAAAACACACACACAGATGGCAGTTCATGTGGGCTACTTTTACAAAAGTGTGTGTGTACTCTACTTGCAATATATTTATTTTCTCTTCAACTTCTACTTGTATCATTTCTAATGTGAGGACACGCCATATTCGGATATGAGTCTAGCATTGCACATGTGTGGGAACACGGCTCAACATTCAGTGAATTAATCAGGTTTTTGTATTATTTTAATGGGGATATGATGGATAATAACATCTTGTTTATTTGTTTGTTTATCACGTTTATTTATTCAGCACTTTATATTCAGTTCAATGTATAGCACAACTCAAACACATCGTGTCAGAGAGCGTGCACGAGTCCACAGTACAATCTACAGCGATCTGCTATCAGAGGAGACGTACATGGACAAATCACAGTTAACGCAAAGTGTATTAATTTAACCCTTCTATTATCTTTATTTGTGTCTACACTCATTATCTTTGGGGTCTCCAGAGACCCCAGACAATAACATTTAATTTTGAAGCAGTATAATAATTTTTTTTTTTTTTTACAAATGTAATTTTACTCTATTTATTAATGTTTTTACTCAACAGTTGTGCAGTTTTTGGAGGATTTTTGATATCTTTTAAATTTCTATAAATTAATAAATAAATATTTTTTTTAAATAGGCTTTTTACAAAAAAACGGCATTGTATGTAAAATTCACTTTATAAAAGACCCAGATTTCTAATTTTCATTCATGGAGATAACATGGATCATTTAACATGGTTTAATGTAAGATTTTTGACAATTTTTTGGAAAATGCAGTTTTAAAATAAAAAAATATCACTTTAACCACTAGATGGCCATAGACCTCCACTATAAGCTATTTGCTATTTAATTAACCAAACTATATCACAAGTTTTTCCAGTTGGATTCATATCTAAATATTATAAAATCACAATTATAACAACAAAAAAAAACTTTTTGTCAAAGTGTAAAGTATTTTTTGTACTGACAAAAGTTTTTCAATAATGTTACATTATGATTAGAATCAAACCTGAACAAGATGTTACAAAGAGAAATGTTGGAGTCTTTCGATTTGATCATTTATTTCAATTATCTGTTTTTAATATAATTCTAGAATTTTAAATCAACGTTTCAGCTACGAACTGTAAAAGAACAAAAATTAACAGAAATGAACATTTATATTACATATTGAAAAAAAAACAAATGCAATTAACTGAACAGCAATAACAAATGAGCATATAAAGCAGTAAAAAAATAAAAGCGTTGTAATAAATAAACGATTTCCTAAAAAAAAACGATTGGATTTTTTTTTTGTGAACAATTAGGAACAATAACTGGTGGCGCACTGGAGGTGTTGGTATTTGAAGTGTGTGTGTGTGTGTGAGAGTGTGCATTGTGGATGTTTTTTGCATTGTTGGAAGTGTGCCACTTTCTTTCTGTCTATGTGATCTGCGTTGTTTCTTCGTTGTTTCTGATTTTAATGATGAATTTTGTATATTCACTATGATAAAGAGTGTTGGCATTTTTTTCATGCTAACATAAACAGATATCATTCCAAAATATATATATATATATATTTTTGTAGATCTAGACAGTGTTAAGAGTCGTAAAAAAGTTTCATACCATTTGGAAAAAGAGAACATTTTTAAAAAATTGACCAAAACTCATTTGCGGGTCAAAAAGACCCCAAAGATAATAAGAGGGTTAATAATCAAAGGCAGAAACAATGAGCTCATTGAAAGAGTGGATACTTGTTTGCTAACAAATGATTATTGCATTGATTGGTGCAACTTATACAATAGATTGCTTTAAAATCAGCAGATTTGTTTGTCATGATGTCATAAGACATTTTTGCACATGGTTTGGAAGACCAGATCTGTGTTTTTGCCAAGTGTTGGTTCAGATGGCGGATTCGAGACAGTCGTCACACACTGATGATGTCTCTGTGGGCCTCGAACACCCCAGCGTCTCTCTCTCTCTCTCTCTCTTTCATGCGGTGTTGTGATACATTAATGTCCCTGTTGTTCTCCTCTTGTTTATTGCTGTAGCCTGAGGAATGTGTTTTATGGGATGTTATGTGATGCGTCATCAGCTCTTGAAGCACGAAACTAAGAAGATGTCAGAAGTCTTGCAACAGCAGCGGAGAGGTTTATCGGATGGTTTTCAGTGTTTCCCATGAGCTCTTCTCAACACAGATGCACACAACGCCTCGTGCAGTTTCATTACTGGAGACCGATTTATCGGCCGATATTAGGCATTTTCCAAACTATCGGTATCGGCAGTTATAATGGCCGATAAATGAATATTTAAAAAATAAATAAAAATGGACGAAACACTCTTGAACCATGTCATGAGTGTTGGAGTTTATAGTTTGTCCACCAGAGGGCACTCTACACCATCCCTGTTGGCAACACTCGTGTATAACGCGCCGCACATCCAGTTGCAGGTGGCTTATAAGGCAATGTAGGGACTAATTATTATTTTATTTATCAGAACTTTAATATATTTTGATGTTGTGACAATAAAAGAAACAAGTTTCTTTAAAATGCATTATCATATTATTTTAGTTAAAACTCATAAATAACTACAAATAAATAATGTTAGGGAAATCTGTTAATGTTTTGTTGCACGTTTCTGAAAAAAATAAATAAATAAAAGTATCGGCCGATATATCGGATTTTAAAACCAACTAATATTTGTATCGGCCTTCAAAATCCTTTATCGGTCGGGCTCTAATTATTACTTTGGATTTGGGGGGGAAATGTTACAAGGGCACGGTCGGTCATGCTATGAAAAATGCTAGTTTTAGGGTTTTGTTTTTTATTTTAATTACATTTTATTTTCAAGTATCTACTTTATCACTAGAGACAATCAAAATAACCAATAATTAGACAATAATTTAAAAGTCCCCCTGTAGTTAATCATTTAATCCCTTAAAACTTCTCTTTGAGCACCAAAATCGTAACTCGACACCCTCGCCTCATTTAGTATGTGTGGTTCTATGAATATGCAGATGAGCCCCGCCTCCACTCACTCGCTCACTCAGAGATCCACTGATTGGCGATCACACGTTGATCTGATTGGTTACAAGGTGGTTTGTGACGTCAGAAACACCAGCGTCTTTGGTTCACTGCAGTTTTAAGGAGAGAATACTCTCCACTTATCAACTTACACACGGTGTGTGTTAACCCTAAAACCGTATTCTGGACAAATGTGGGCAAAAAAGTTTTGATTTATTTTTAAAAAAAATACGTCCCTTGATCTGAGCGGTACAAGACTTGGCTATTTTTCCTAAGTTCGCCTCCTGAACACACACAATTTTTTTTTGACTCAATTCTACAATGTTAAAACTCCTTAATCTTGTATTTGGGTCAAAAATGGGCACCCATAGAAATGAATGGGAAAAACTATAATTTAGAGCATTCTAAAATAAGCCAAAATAAGACCGCCAAGTCACTTCATCTTTACGTTTTAGCCCTAAGAACTTATTTAAACGTAGTTAAAAAAATAAAACAAAAATAAGCATAATTTACATAGAAAATATGGTACTTTTTGAAGTAAATAAATTCAAAAATACTCCCAAAATACAAGAAAACACCATAAATGGGTACACAAAACTTTATCGAAGACAGTGATATAACATTTATAATAAATAAAAATTAGGATCAGTCCTCTGTGCCCACATTTGTCCACAATTTTAAGGCCTATAAAGTGAATACGGTTTGAGGGCTACAGCGTAATAAAAACAACATTAAACACTTGATTTACACCACATGGGGACTATAATGAAGTGTTGTTTAAACTTGAGCCAGTTGAATACTTGATGATATAATAGCTGACTATTGTTTCCCCTTGTGAAGCGCTGTGCATGGACGTCCCTGCCCCGGTACATCTGCTCCTGTCCTCACAGCACTTCGTCCACTTATTGTCCTGGGAAAAGGGTCCCGGCTCTCCTGATGGCGTCCGCTTCTCCGTCCGGATACAGACACAGAAGCTCAGGTATAAGCTGACTTTACACACAGCAGGACATCATACACACCAGCCATGTGTCTGTGACTGAGAGAGAGAGAGAGAGAGAGAGAGAGCTTGGGTGTTTCCCTAAGTTTCCCAAACTGCAGTAACACATGACCTGAGATTTATTGCAATCATCAGATGCTGTGAATGAAAACCGTATGAGAGAAAACAGGCTTTTTCCAGAACCAGGACTGATGATCTTGACCAGATATTGTGATTGTGTGTGAACATCCCCCCTGCTGTGATAAACCAGTGTTTGGTGAGTGTGTTGATCATGTTTGCTTGTTGTAACTGTGATTGTGTGTGTGTTGCAGTGGGACAGAAGTGGTGGTGAAGGAGTGTGAGGATGTGACGTCTCCTCTGCGATGTAATCTCACAGAAGCCTTATCCGAGGTGGAGGAGACCTATTACATCAGTGTGTCTGCGTCTCTGGGCAAACACACCTCGTATTCCCACTGCCGCCCATTCCAACCCATTCTGAACAGTGAGAGACAGATTTATATCTACATGAACCACAAAACATGGCTATCGCACACCGCCTATGGCATCCATCTTAGTTTTAAGAGCGGAGCGGACATGTGTAGATCCAGTGTCCAGGCTTCGCTCACACACAGTTAGTTCAAGCTGTTCAAAACCATTATAAACGGGTATTTCTTACCATACCATTTTAATGTATTGTTATAATTATAAACACATTGGTTTACATAACTTTATTCTTCATTTTCCAGGATCAGACACTTATAAAAGCAAATGTTCTCAGAAATAAGTTCAAGTATGTAGCTAACCGATAAAGACACAGTCAGCACTATTGACAGCAAAATAGACCACAGAATATTTCGTTCTGTATTGACAGGTGCAATTGATATTTATTTATATTTATAAATTATATTTATATCAGCATTAACATTTAATTTATTAATATGTATTCGTGTACAAAATAACATATAAACATCTTTTCCTATTCTATTTTGCCTGGAAACGCTTTTAACAATAAATGGCAATTTTTCTCAAGGGAATCAAATCTCTTAAATGCTGTAAACTATGGTCTATATATATATATATAGTCTAGTTGTAGCCTATAGGCTTCATTAACCTAACATGAAGGTAATAATGAACTGTTTTGTAGCTATACAAACACTTAAATTACACTTTTATTTATTTTTATAATAAGAAGATTATATTAAATATAAACATTTAAATGGTGGCCGTCATAAAAACTTGCCAGATTTATTCAAATATGCATTAAATATTGAAGAACACTAACGAGTGTGGACTAACGAGTTTATGTGGGTTTTCTGAGGTAAATATGACGATTACAAGCTGTTTAACTGACGTCTTTCCACGGTTGAAACGCTGATTGTGAATCAATGTGACATGATCCGGATTTGGATAAGTTGTACTCTATCTTTAACACACTTTCAGATGCTCATTCATGTTTATTTGGCGCTGTGACTGGTATTATTAAGCCGGAAGAGAGATCAGCGCTGCTGCTTCTCCAGAGCGATCTCACGCCACAGCGACAAAACGCTGTTTATGTTTCTGAATTTCTAAAGAAAATGGACGTAATTTGAAAATTGAGACTTTGTTTCATATCAATAGTAACAAAGGACAACGATTATTGCGATTTGTTGGATGTGCGCAACCGTGATACAATGATCCATTCATTCAAATGAAATTGAGATTTAAGAATCGATATCGGTTTGTGAGAATCGATGAGAATCGAAAAATGAGAATCGATTAATATCGAGAAATTGATATTTATTACCCAGCCCTAATATAAACATAAATGTGTGTTCAGTGGTGTATAAAGATCTTATATAATGAAGCTTTATGTGTTTATCAGCTTAGAATGAGGCGTTTCTCTCGACACACACCGCGGGTCGCTTTACACCGACATGTTTCTACGGTGGCCCTGAGCGGACACACACATTTCGTCACTATGTTGTTCTTCGGGATAAGAAGCTGCTAAAGTCGGCGAATAAAACACTGACACAATGATGAACAATGACAATAATATTCACAATATAACTCAATAATAAAGGAAGCATAACTAATTTATTTTAGTAAATAAACCTCATTGCTTAACTGGCCACTCTCTGCTGACGACATCACTTCCTGTCGGCCACTGTAACGTGTGTTGGGTGCGATTCACAACCTCACCACTAGATGCGCTAGATCTTACACACTGCACCTTTAACTCGTAAACTCAGTACACCTACACGATCACATGTGGTTCAGTTGCAGGACACAAGAAATGAGGTGTGCACTCAAAGCTTTAGTTTAGACTAGTTTAGACACAAGTGCACTTACAGGCATACTTAAAATATACTTGAGCTTTACTTAAGAATACTTGAAGTTTGATTGGGTATCTGTGTAATGTGTGTGTGTTCTCCTGAAGCTACGCTGGAGCCGCCGCTGCTGTCCGTCGCCGCGTGCAATCGTTCGCTGTGTGTGAGTCTCAGAGCTCCCGCTGAGAAACTGCACAGCGTTTACGACTCGCACAGGCTCAGCTATAGACTGACGGTCCGCAGTGCAGACGGAGCCGAGGTGAGGGGTCTTTAATACGGGTGACCACACTCATCAACATTATCCAGTCAGATGTGTAATCACCTGATCAGAGACACTACACTACAGCACTGATCAAACTGTCTTGGGTTATTGTGTAGGATGAAAATCACAAGTATCTGCTAACGCCAAATTTCAGGATCTTCCCAAAACAGCAGTATAAATATGATTCAGCTCATAATTACACACCACCTTTGCCTTGCTCAGTGTTATTAACGTTGTTCTTTGTAAAACTGCTTAATATTTGTTGTACAAACAAACACAGTGTGAAATTCTATTAAAACATATTAGATTAAAGGGATACTCCACTTTTTTTTTGGAAATAGGCTCATTTTACCACTCCCCCAGAGTTAAAGTATTTAGAAATATCAGAAAATCGGCTGAATGGATTCGAAAACGGTAAAACTTAAATTTTACTTACTTAAATTTTACTTAAAATTTAAAGTAAAATTTTACTCAAATTTTTACTTTTACTTATTTTACTTAAAAAACTTAGATTTTACTTAATTTAAAACTTAAGTTTTAAATTTTAAAACTTAAAGTTGTGGGGATTGTTCTCACTCCCCCAGAGTTAAACATTTAAGTTTTACCGTTTTCGAATCCATTCAGACGATTTTCTGATATTTCTAAATATCAGAAAATCGGCTGAATGGATTCGAAAACGGTAAAACTTAAAACTTTAACTCTGGGGGAGTGGTAAAATGAGCCTATTTCCAAAAAAAAGTGGAGTATCCCTTTAAGCAAGGAAGGGATGAAGGAGATGGAAATGAAAATGTGACAGAACTTTATCTTAATCAACAAAAAAATATGTGGGATATTGACAGTTAAAAAAGGATTGCAGAACTTTGTACATGTTTAATATGTTGTAAATTGAGAATGGTGATAATATAGTGTTGTGGTGATTGTTCTCAGCCTCGTTAGGCCTGTTGTTATCTTGTTATAGTTTATTTGACCCGCCCTGGGGCCGTTTACAAACTCTGGGTTACAGGATTAGTTACCAAATCATTAATTACCAATCCAGTCAGGCTTTGAGTTCGTGGAGTGTGACATCAGCAGTGAACAGCCTGGAAACTGATTCACTTCTCGCAACAGAGTCGGCAAGATTCACTTCTCTCTTCTGCTGAGGATTAAGAGATTGAAGAAGTAGTTCACTTTAAAAAAAACTGCTGATAATTTACTCACCCCCATGTCATCCAAGATGTCCATGTCTTTCTTTCTTCAGTTGAAAAGAAATTAAGGTTTTTGATGAAAACATTCCAGGATTTTCTCCATATAATGGACTTCAATGGGAACCAAACGGTTCAAGGTCCAAAAGACAGTTTCAGTGCAAACTGTTCAAAGGGCTTTAAACGACACCAGACGATGAATAAGAGTATGGAAGGCATTTTCTGCCAAATTTAAATTAAAATATTAAATGATAAAAATGAAAAATAAAACAAGTTTAACCATTTCATTACAGAAAACGGTACGCAAAATATGCGGCAAAATTGATAATGAAATTAAATGATTTCATTTTCCTTTTCATTTTCACGGTGACAGTGCATCATCCCTGTCAAATTGAAAAATAAAATGCAATTGGTGATTTCACGTTTCATTTTCACTACAATCTCGAGGCAAGACTGCCAATATTAAAATGAAAAGGCAAAAGTGAAAAGAAACTGCAAATACAGTTTTTTACAAAGCTTTTTATTAACATTCACGCAATAATAGTGACAGAATTCAAATTCACCAATTGCATTTTATTTTTCAATTTGACAGGGATGATGCACCGTCACCATGAAAATGAAATCATTTAATTTCATTATCAATTTTGCCGCATATTTTGCGTACCGTTTTCTGTAATGAAATGGTTAAACTTGTTTAATTTTTCATTTTTATCATTTAATACTTTTATTTAAATTTGGCAGAAAATGCCTTCCATATAAGAGTCTTATCAAGCGAAACGATCGCTCATTTAATAAATAAATAACAAAGTTTAAATTTTATAAGATCAAATGCTCGCCTTGCTCTGTTCTGTGATGCGCGTTCGTGATTCTCCTGTTCATCAAAATGAACAAATCTTTTACCGAGTTATTTGGTTCATTCAATGAACGAAATGAACGAGTTGACTCGAAAAAAAAATTCACCCTTATTCATCGTCTGGAATCGTTTAAAGCCCTTTGAACAGTTTGCACTGAAACTCTCATTTTGACCTTCAACCGTTTGGTCCCCATTGAAGTCCATTATATGGAGAAAATCCTGGAATGTTTTCATCAAAAACCTTAATTTCTTTTCGACTGAAGAAAGAAAGACATGGACATCTTGGATGACATGGGGGCGAGTAAATAATCAGCAAAACTTTTTTTTTTAAAGTGAACTACTCCTTTAAGGAATATGGAGAATATAAATGTATTTATACAGTGAGGAAATATCTTACTATATCAGTGCAAGTGAAAGTTTGTATAGTTGATCAAATAAATATATATGTATACAGAGACTCAGACAGGCGTTCACATGTAGTCGTGTATAAAGCTTCATCTACCGATTCACAATCTTATTTATATTACCTGTATATAAAATGCAACGATGAAAGTTACTGAACGTCTCCTCTCAGGCCGGACAGTCCAGGCTCTCTTTAACAGGTGTGTGTGCATTATTTAGTGTTGTATGTGTAGTAATCGCTGCTGTGTGTGTGTGTGTGTTGACTGGCAGTTTCCAGTGGACCCTAAAGGGTTGGGGAACGTGACCGTGAAGGATCTGACCCCGGGCCGAAGGTACTGTGTGAATGTCAGCATCGTGGGTCGCAACACAACACACAGAGACCCGGTGTGTGCCGACATCCCTCACACCGCTGACGTCTCAGGTATTCAGTTTTCTCCAGACTCTAACCGTATTAGACTGAAACTACAGATTCAGTATAAACTGCATCAGATAATCATGTCCTCGACCGTCAAAGCTCTAGCCCACTTGTCCAAAAAGTTTAACCTGGATTTGGAAATCCCATGTTTTGCAATCCATGATCAGGGAATCCATCTTACAGTTGTGCTGGTGTGACTGGATCACCTCAATCCTGATTTAATATCCCCAGATATCTTGATATCATTTGTATCATTAAAGCTACACTGTGTAACTCTTTTAGTTTATTTTTAGCTAAAAACACTTAGTTCTTTCAAAAATATATGTGCTCATTAATGTATATTTACTTCGTTCAAGTAATAAAGTATTCTCGTGAGTGTATAATATGCCATTGAAAATACATACGGGTAAGCGGTCGCCATGTTGCCCCTCCATCTTGAAAGTACATTAGCCAAAGAGGGACATTCCCGTTAATTTAAGCTTCGCCATGAGTTAACACTGGTGAACGAGGTCGAACTGGAAGCCATGTTAATCTTGGACTACATTGGCCACCGTAGGAGTTAAAACGAAATCGGAATTGAGAGGAACAGAAACTAATATTCACTGGATGGTCATATACTTTTTCACCACTAGATGGGGGTAAAAATCACACAGTGTAGCTTTAATTATCATTAGTATCATTAATACAATTTTCATTTCCTCATTTCCATTTCCGCAAAATATACAATCAATAAAAAACTAATATTCCATACCAGAATGGAAGAGGCAGAAATATGCATGTAAGTTCGATTAACGGATGAAATTCAGAGTCATTGTTATTTGACGCTTAAGAAAAGTAAAATGTTGTGGTACAGTGTTGGCGATTAGTTGTGAAATCTTACTGCAAATTTATTAAACAATAGTTCAAAACAAGACGTTTGTAGTACTGATTATTGGAGTCCATTAATCGAACTTATATAGTAATTATATATTATTATGTAGTATGTACCAATTCATTAATGCAATTTACCAATGCTCACACTCGGTCTCTCACGCGCAGACACAATATTTATCACAATATTGATCGTGGGAAGCCAAAATCGTGATCGTGATTAAATTTCGATTAATCGTGCAGCCCTAGTGAGAAATGACATTTAAAATCAAACATATATTATTTTTGATAACTATTTGGGTATGATTTTATGGGGGGAATCTACGTTTATTATTCTAGACTTAACAGATCCTCAGCTTTATCTCTGTAACTGCTAAATAAATCAAGCACAAAATATAAATGTGTGTATATGCATACAGTACGTGTCAGGCAAAAACAAGAAGAAAAGATCTAAACGCTGCGACATTATTTATTAATAACTAAAAACAAAGAGAGTCCAAACAGTAGCAAAGGTGTGGCAGTGCAAACAACAGCTGATGAAGCTGACGCCGTATTTACACAGAGGAAGATCAACAGAACGGGGAACAGGTGTGCAGCGACGGCTGTGGTAACCATGGAAACCACGAATGAATGAGAACTAAACCCAAACTAAAACACCAAGAAACGCATGACAGTGATGTACCAAACACTAAAAATGACAATGTTGTCAAAATGATCCCCGTTCACACAAATCTGTATTCTGCTGCCAGGCCAGTAGATGGCGATGTCCCCTGTTAAAGAAAAAAACACACTCTTATAGACTGAACACGTATTACACATGACATCACCGTTTTACACGGACACGATTGCGTTTATCCAGTTTTTAAAAAAATCGCATTTTCAGGCCCCTAAAACACAGTTGTGTAAATGAACAACCGAAACTCATCAAGTTTTACGTTTACTTGAAAACAGAGTCATGTAAACAACCCCTGATATAACCGTGACAACATGATGTCATTATAAGTTTGAACTAAAGCCCATCCTTATACTTGGATCATTTCTCTGTATCATAAGTATCCCAATCTTACTACAACATTTTGAACATACTGAAGGTTTGATGCAGATCCAAACCATCTAATCGTCATCTAATCCTTATTTTTGACTTCTTTTGAACAACTGGGTCCGAGTCGGCATCTATTTACAGTGGGATAGATCTTCTGCTGATTCAGGCTGTGATCAAACATACTGTTGAAAATACGATATAAGCCAATCCAGTACACAAGCGCTGGTTTGGCCCCAGCAGTGGAGTCGAGTGTGAAAGCACTGAAAGGGCTTCATGGATGAAAAGACATTATCTATTATCCGTGTGTGTTTCAGATGTAGTGATCTCGGTGGTCCTGTGTCTGCTGACGCTGCTGCTGTTACTGGTGTGTTCTCCGAGACTGGTCTATCGCTTCTTCTGTCTGACACCGCCGCTTCCAGCCGCTCTGGTGAGAGCAACACTGTAATGATGTAATGGAGGAGAGTAATATCTGAATCAGATCATAGATACATCACACACTAAAGGAAAGGAAAACAGTAAAAAGCATTATATGACTACCCTTGTGCATCCTTATGGACATTTTTGTCCTTTTCAGTTTTGTTTGCTTGATCACTTTGCCTGTGTTAAAGCTAACTGCAAAAAATTTGGCACAGGTGTGTATTTTTATTGGAATTTTACTATTTCACCGTCATTTTCTTAAAAAAATATTTTTTTGCATTAGGTACAAAAAATACTCCCTCTCAGCACCTTTTGGACAAAAACGTCCCCATTAAAACTGCCATTTTTAATCCCCGGTTCAGTTAACTATAAAATTATGCAATGTTTGTTGAGAGGCTTTCATTCTGATGGCAAGGCTTCAAAATTTTATTTTGTACTATTTTTTATCAGATGGTGCCATTTTTTTTTTTAAGTTTGGCCTATAAAACGAATATCGCTTTATTCCTGTTTTCTGCTTCGGCATATTATAGAGCCAACTGGATAAATTATGCAACGATATTTGTGTGGGTGTGTTGGTATGGATGTCAGAGTGTGGTTAGTATGTGTTTTATAAAAAAAATATGTGTGTGTTTGTAATACTGAAAGAGAAAAACTGCAAATTCCAATCCAATCACTGTGAGCTCCAGTGGGGTTTTGCTGCCACCCAATGGGGAAAATATGTTACTACACCCAAACAAACTGTTACCCAAAGCTCATTTTTTGAGATATCATCCTCAAATTTGGAACACAACCTATTTAGATTTATGGCTTTGATTTTATTGCAGTTTTGAGTTTTCAACCTGATTTATAAAATATTTATTTCATATAAAATATTTTTTATAAATAATTTTCATAAACTTATAGAGGGAATGCATTGACACGTGACTTTCCCGCGTGACAACCCCCCTCAGCCTGACCGAGTGGCAAAAGATCTGCTGCGTGACTGGATTTAATAGGGGAAAACTGCGGAAATGCGACTAAATCGAACAATTTTATCAATTTAAACTAAATGTTGGACTCAATATAGTGGTTTAACTTTATATTACAGACTGCTATGGAAAGAGGAGCAAATGGATCGCTGCAATTCACAGAAACAACTGGACAAAACCATACCCATATATTTTTTATTGTTAAATACATTAACAGCTCATCAATTATATATTTATCATTGCATATTCTGCATTATGTTTTTTTAATAAACACTGACCAAAAAATGTATAAAGTTTTAGGGCTGGACGATATGATATATATATATATATATATATAGGCTATATATAACACACTGATATAAGTGATCACCTGGATTTAGACCTACCAATATTATATTTATATAAAGCGTTCACAGGCAAATTTGCTTTATGTTTAGGTCTATATTGCCTTTACTTCCCCGCTGTCGAAATCAGGCAAATATGTCAGGCAACACGATTCCCGGCTGCATGTCAATATCCATGGATCACTGGATCTTTAGTAAGTTGTAAGGAACACTATATTGAGTCCAACATTTAGTTTAAATTGATAAAATTGTTCGATTTAGTCGCATTTCCGCAGTTTTCCCCTATTGAATCCAGTCACGCAGCAGATCTTTTGCCTCGGTCAGGCTGAGGGGGGTTGTCACGCGTCAATGCATTCCCACTATACCTATATAACTTTTTTTTTTGGATTTACTTATTATTATTATTTTACTTCAGCAATAATCTGCAAAGGGTCTTCTTTAAAATGATACCAAACTTAAGTCTGTGCTCCAAAGCGTCACATTTTTATGACAGTTTTTTGACGTGGACATTTTTGTCCTCTTTTTACCAATGTGTAACTTTTTTTAATTGATGCACAAGGGTTAAACAGTTTTATTTTTATTCTTTGACATAAACCAATAAAAGAGAACCGTGACCACAGATCACAAGCACATAACCAGAGACATGCATCGTCAAAACACAATTACCTACAGATAATAGAAACGGTTATTTTATCGCATTTCATTCGAGTTAGTAGAGTATTAGTAGACTGTTAGGGTTCAGGTTAGTTGACATGTAGATGCAAAGTTACTTAGAGTTAGGAGAATGTCTAAATGGGACTATCGAAATGAGGTCTAACCCTTTAAATAAATGGGAAAAACAGTCAAACCGTCTTTATTGGATGATACTGCATAAAAAAATCCATTTATAGTTTGAATTTACAGTGTAACTAATGCCTGTTGTCTTCCAGACCTTGATCGAGAGCGGGAATAAAGTCCTTCTCTTCACTCCCGCTGAACTCATCAACACACTCTTCGAGGACCCTGACTCGGTCCAGAAGACGAAGATAAGCGGCGAGGAGGAAGACGAGGAGGAGAGTGTGACGTACGAGAGGATCGCGGCACACTATCTGGACGCTCGAGGCTCCTCTCTGCTCATCTGCCCAGTGTCCGCTAGCTGCGAGTCGAGCGGCGACGTCCCCGCGAGCCTCAGCTCCTCCACAGACGCTCCGAGTCCGGTCGTGTCCGACGAGCCGACCGCTTCTCCTCAGGGAACGAGTCCTCTCCGGCGCTGGAGCATCGCTCTGCACACACACGAGGACGACGCCGAGAGCGCTACTGACGTGAACCTGTTCTCCGTGACCTTACGAGGAGTCTCAGCTGAACCTGTGGAAACCTGCAGTGTTATAGACGAGCTGAGCTTATATCCTCAGAGCCTGTTACTGACTGATCCACAGTCACACATCTCCACTGGGAAACACATCTCAGAGGAGGAGGAGGAGTGCTCAGAGTACTTGAGTCGAAACTAGATTCCTGGGAAATTGACCAAATCCTTTGCATTATTTGAGAGTAGATGTGAGAATGTTAAAGTTCACGCGAGCATGTATTCATGTATTTTTTATACTGTATTGATTTTTTAAATTTGATAGTGTTTTTTTATTATTCCTGTTTTGAATAGCATTTCATTCTGATGGAGATGATGTCATACAAACATTAGTCTTATTGCTGGATGAGGAACAGAAAGTGTTTATCGCAAACATAATTTCATATTCATTTATTTAGTATTTGTTCCATTACTCTTGGATATGTTTAGGTCTCAAGGACCGTTCACACCACAGACAATAACTATAAAGTTTAATTAATTGTTCTAGTTCTCTGAACAAAACTATAAACGCAACACTTGTTTTTGCCCCGAGCTGGACTCAAAGATCTAAGAATATTTCTATGTACACAAAAGGCACAAATATTGTCTAAATCTGTGTTAGTGAGCACTTCTCCTTTGGTGAGATCATCCATCATCCTCACAGGTGTGGCGTATCGAGATGCCGATTAGACAGCAAGATTATTGCACAGGTGTGCCTTAGGCCTCTCTAAAATGTGCAGTTTTAGGTCAAGGGTTCGATTCCCAGAGAAAGCAAGAACTGATAAGAATTTAAATGTCCTTGAGATGCAATGCAAGTGGCTTTGGATAAAAGCATCCGCCAAATGCATAAACGTAAACGTAAAAACCATCAGAATCCATCCGAGTTTAAAAACATGTAGACAAAACATATTTTTATAGTTCTGGTTATTGGTGTGAACGGGTATTAAATCTTGTGCTGCTGTTACGAACAAACAAAAACAGTCTGTTGTTACTGCGCTCTAAAAAATGCTGGGTTGTTTTAACCCAATTTTGGGTCAAATATGGGACCCAGCCATTGGGTTACATTTTTAAATTACATTCTTAACCCAGTGTTTGAGTTTGTCAATATTTGACCCAAAATTGGGTTAAAACAACCCAGCATTTTTTTTTAGAGTGTGATGATATTTTGAATATCAATTAAACATGAACTAAAAATGGACAATTCTTATTATTTACTGAAAATATACATGGAGCAAATATTTACTGTGACTGTAAACTGCGATATTGTGGACTGATAGGCATTATATCACACATTTCTGTAAGGCTGCTCTGAAACAGTGTTTATTATGAAAAGCTGTACAAATAAAACTTGACTTGTCCTTGTGCACAGAAGTATATGACCAAATCTCTAAATCTCTTGAAATCAGGAATCTGCAACACAAGTACAACAGAAGGATTTGTAGATGACATGCGTAAAGAAGTTCACCTGCAGAATAAAGACCAACAAGAAACAGGTACGTTTTAATGTATGACACTAGACGTGTGTGTGTGTGTGTGTGTGTGTGAGGGAGGGGAGCTGATCACATGCCAATGACGTGTGCTGCTTAAGTAACACACTTGACAACTGTCACCGTCCCACAGGTGGGACGTTTGCCACTATATTTTTAAAACAATAATGTCTTAGTAAATACCTCAAATAATATTGACAAACTATATATCATTTGAAAGCTTACAATCTCTAGTTTCCATATTTGGTGACTGATTTTCAAAATATATTACATAGGAGCCATAATTTATCAATATAAAACAAGAATATTTTCATACTCATAAGGCGTGTTCAGACCTTTATTTTAAAATAGCAGTAAACATGAAAAATCATGAAAAAATGGTAGATACCTCAGTTTGTTTTCATGCCAAAAGTTCAAAAGATAGAATCCATTCAATTATTTTGGAAAAAAAAAGGTCTGAAAAGTTTGAAATATCAAGAAAAAAATAATAAATTCACCATTTGTGACGTGTCAGCTAGCTATGACTTACATGCGTGTTCTTTGTATGTGTTTCTTAGAGGTTCAATTCATATCAAAATCTGCCAAACTTCCCATGCTACTTCTGAATAGGATCTCTACTCCAGAAATTGTATGAAAATTGTGAAAATAATGGTTCATATCACTCAAAACACGAATGGAAATGCAGACGCCCTTATATGGGCAGTAATGGAGTCTGATTGTGCCCTAGTGAAAAAGTTTGGTACTGCGCTCAAACAAAATCTTACTGAAAGCTCATTTTTTGAGATATCAACCTAAAATTTGAAACACAACTTGTTCAGATTTTTGTCTTTGATTTTTCTGCCATTTTAGAGTAGCCCAGGTTTTGAAAATATATATTTTATGTAAAATATGAATAATTAATATTTTTACATTGTACATTTCCATAAACTCAAACTTCTATAACTTTTTTTCTGTTTCACTTTCTTAATTTATTTCACTTCTACAAAAATCTGCCAAATGTCTTCTTTAAAACAAGACCAATCATATGTCTATATTCCAAAGCATTCTTGAATTACAACCATTTAAGTTCGAAATGTGCATTTTCATGTCTATTCAAAAAAGGGGGGGTGACAGTTAACAGGTTAACACATACTCGTTCAGAGTTCATGAACCTGGCATAATCAGTGACGATTCTCTGACCTCTGAATTAATTCATATTTTATTACTGACTTTTTTCTTTTCTTTAAAGATGTTTGAACTTAAAATAAATTAGGCTTGTAGTTTTTAGTCAAGAACTAAGACTTCACGGGGATCTAAAATGTTAATCTATTTTAAAGAATAAAGTTGAGACATCTGTGTTCGTGAATTTCTCTTCACTTCTGCTAAATGTTTACCAGAATATTTCCCCAAATTCACACTAGCCACTATTAGCTACAGTCTCTATCGTTTCAAAATGCAAAACTGCATGCTTTCAATACAGTCTTGTTACAAGTAACAACTTTATTAAAATACAAGGTCACGTGAGTCAAACACAAAGTGGCTATTTTTTCCACTCAATTATGTCATAATAACGAAATATTATGCTGTAGAAAAGCCATTTTTTGTCATAATAACCGGATGTTATGTCGTTAAAACAACTTCGTAATAATGAGATGTTATGCCGTTAAAATGTCATGTGACGTAAAAACGGCACATCTCGTTTTGACATATAGTAGTTTAACATTAAAAAGTGTTAATGCCTTCTGTTGGACATTTCCAGTCAGGTGATATACCTCTTCAGTCTTATTTTTAGTATTGTTTAACAGATTGATGATGGCAACTGGTCAAGGATCTCCATCTATGGAGACAGGATTATAAAAGCTAGGCTTTTGTGAGGACAATGGACACATGAAGAACAACAAGATGTTAGAGAAAAGAAGGAAAAGAGACAGGATGGTTTCACTAGGTAAACAAATAAGGAAGCGCTCAGGTGGAGGAACTAGAACCGCTGAAATCTCTAAAAATGCAAAGAAATTGTCTCGGTCACGTAAGTAACCCTCGTTCCCTGAGTAGGGAACAGATGTTACATCGTATGACAACGAATGGGTTTTGCTTAGAAAGCCCATCGACTTCAAGGATTACAAAACGAGCCAATGGCAAAGAAATGCCGGGGGTCAAATATGCATGGCGCAACTCCGCCCCATCTCGTGGGGATCCAACTTCTGTTGGATGACGACAAATGGGGTTACCAGTGCCCTGCGTAACTCTGAGATCCCTGTCGTGAGACTAGCATGAGCGAGCGACTCCTATTTAGCACAGGAATACCAAGGTACACAGGGGAGCATATCTCACATCTCAAAGAAATGTGCAATTAATGGCTACCCAGAGGGGAATCCACATATGACCCGGAGGGATGCATATGAAGAACACTGGGGTGTCCAGCCGCAGGTGGAATATTTCAACCCCAGGGGTGGCAAGGTTGCTTGCAGAGGGAAAGACACATGCTCAGAGAGGTTTATAGTGGAAATGCAAATGTGGGGGTCGCTCAGGGGAGGGACCATGCATACGGGAGGCACCTAGCCAACGCGCAGGCAATAGACACTGGCGGTGATGTCAGGAGTGCTGGAGGAACTCAAGGCTTTCGGGGAAGCTCACCTGAGGAAAATATCACACATATCCAGTCCGTAGAGTGGAATGGCGAGCAAGCAAAGACACCTGAGCGGGTCCTAGGACCGGCTGGTTGAAGCGAGTATATGAGAGGACACAGGCTCCCCTCGGAGATTGTAAAATCTGGCGAATGTGTTGGGTGTCGCCCAGCCTGCAGCGCTGCAGATGTTAGCAAGGTGCCATGCGCTAGAGCCCAAGAGGACGCCACACTCCGGGTGGAGTGGGCAGTCACACCAAGGGGCGGCAGTGGCTCAGTCGTTCACGTACTGTGGGTTGTCTACAAACCGAAAGGTTGGTGGTTCAATCCCCGGTTCCACCTGACCAAGTGTCGAGGTGTCCATGAGCAAGACACCTAACCCCAGCTGCTCCCGACGAGCTGGATGGAGCCTTGCATGGCTGACACTGCCGTCGGTGTATGAATGAGTGTGTGAATGGGTGAATGTGTGGCAATATGTAAAGCACTTTGGTGGCCATGAGGTCTATGAAAGCACTACATAAATGCAGTCCATTTACCATTTACCAAGGGGGCACGGACGGCCTTGCTGCTGGTATGCCAAAGCAATGGCGTCCACTATCCAGTGAGACAACCTTTGCTTGGAGAGAGCCTTTCCCTTCAGCTTCCCACCATAACAGACAAAGAGCTGGTCTGAGGTCCTGAAACACTGCGTTCTGAGGTGGGTGATTTTATATTAAATATCACCAACAATTAAACAGTTTTATGCTCATTATTTATCACATCTAGTGAAATGGCCAAACTTCCATTCAAATCTTGAATATTGGAATCAGGTGGTCGATAAATAGTGGCAACAATAATGTTCTTGCCTCCAGAACGCAATAGAGAGCTCAACAAATAAAGATTCCACTTCAGTCCTGTCTGATTTTAAGGCTAGATCATCCAATCCATCCATCCATCCATCTTCTTCCGCTTATCCGGGGCCGGGTCGTGGGGGCAGCAGTCTAAGCAGACATGCCCAGACTTCCCTCTCCCTAGAAACTTCCTCCAGCTCTTCTGGGGGGACACCGAGGCGTTCCCAGGCCAGCCGGGAGACATAGTCTCTCCAGCGTGTCCTAGGTCTTCCCCGGGGCCTCCGCCCAGTGGGATGTGCCTGGAACACCTCCCCGGGGAGGCATCCAGGAGGCATCCGGAACAGATGCCCGAGCCACCTCAGCTGACCCCTCTCGATGTGGAGTAGCAGCGTCTCTACTCTGAGCTCCTCCCGAGTGGCCGAGCTTCTCACCCTATCTCTAAGGGATCGCCCAGCCACCCTGCGGAGAAAGCTCATTTCGGCCGCCTGTATCCGGGATCTTGTCCTTTCGGTCATGATCCAAAGCTCATGATCATAGGTGAGACTAGGAACGTAGATTGACCGGTAAATCGAGAGCTTTGCCTTACGGCTCAGCTCCTTCTTCACCACGACAGACCGGTACATCGACCGCATTACTGCAGAAGCTGCACCCATCCGTCTGTCAATCTTTATGTTTATTTATAT